AAAAGCTTAATTTTAATATTGTGCGTAACTAACTGACATTTCCGTTACAAATCAACAACAACAACAACTGCTGGCAAACAATCACAACAACAATATCATCAACAACAACAACAACAGATAATACCAGTTGATAAGCTTATTAAGGGACGTTTCCAAGACAATTTTGAATTTCTGCAATGGTTCAAGAAGTTTTTCGATGCCAATTATGATGGACGTGAATATGATCCATTGGCTCAACGTAACGGCATCAAGCTGGGCAACGGAGGCAGCCATACGGGCAGTGGTGTGGGCAGCAGCAGCACCGAGCTGCATACGATGCACCGCCGGCCACAGCAGCAGCAGCAGCATCAGCAGCAGCAGCAGGGGCATCATCAGCAGCCGCTACTCCACCACCACCAGTCGGCGGTGAATAATGTTCGCACTGCAGCAATACGCAGCCAAACTGGTATGGGCTCCATGAAGAACATTGCGGAAGAATATGAGATTGTTAATGATGTTAAAAAAGAAGCTGGTGACGGTGATAGTCGCTGTATGCGAGTGTTATTTGTTTTCTATCATTTTATAATCTTCTGTGTGTCTGGGCAAAAAACAAAAAGCGAACGTGAAGCACGCGGAAGCGTAGACCAAACCCCAAAAAAACGCTGCATACCACAAAAGGCACACACAAACACCACTAAACATTGACATATGGTTGTGCACACACACATCCCAGCACTCAACAAACACGCACACTCACACAGAACAAAACACAACACAACACACACCCGCAAACACATCGTCTCTTGAGTTGTTTGTTAGTCTCTTGTTTTAGTGTGCACATTTTTCTCATATATGTAATTTGATTGCATTTATTTTTTTTGTTCTTTTATTTTTTGGTTAATTTTGTTTCGTTTTAAATTTAATTTGTTCTGTTTAAACTGTCGCATTCTCCTGCTCTTGGTTGTTTATTCCTCATTCCATTCAAGTACACTGCATATTATTCTCTTTCTCTCACTCTCACACATTTTACTTTTAGATAATACCCATTGACAAATTGATAAAGGGTCGCTTCCAAGATAATTTTGAATTTTTACAATGGTTCAAAAAGTTCTTCGACGCCAATTACGATGGCAGAGATTATGATGCCAGCGCTGTACGCGAAGGTGCACCGATGGGCTTCGGCTCCGGTGCTGCTAAATCTCTGCCAGGCACAAGCAGCGGCGGCGTCGCCAGCTCCTACAGGCGTGTGCCAACGGCGGCAGCGACACGACCAGCAGCAGCAACAACGACAGCCACAAAGCCCAGTAGGTTCTCTTGGTTTGGTTTAGAGTTTCGCAGTCGACACCACACCACCTTTTAACCAACCATCATAACCCGATCATAACCAGACATACACATCTATGTACAAATTTGTTCATCTAATCCATCTTATACAACTACTATCACCCACTCATAGTTAACTCTATAATTTAACAAAACTGAATGCACAAATTCTACAAAATGAAACACAACAAAGCGACAATTTGAACGCCAGCCATTTGACGTGCTTCACGTTTGTTAAATAATTAATCTAGACCCATTTTCTTTAAGCTAACCGTGCATATAGAAGATATATATGATGGGTATAAACTAACCTCTATCTTTCCGCTTTTTCTTATTTTTATTTTGTTTATCCAATCCAAGCAGTCTCTAAGGTGCCCCCACGCACGAACAATGCGACACCACCGAATAGAATGACGGTCGGCACCACGGGAGCCGTTAAGAAGAACGATTCGGCTGGTGCGCAATCGAACCATCAGATTGAGGAGCTGTCCAGTCAGGTTCGTCCACAGGTAGAGGTAGTAAGCATCAACAGTATTCATTTTTTTTGTTTGTTCATGTCGCCTTCCAAAGGTTATGGATATGCGTTTAAATCTGGAGGGTCTGGAAAAGGAGCGTGACTTCTACTTCTCAAAGCTGCGCGACATTGAAATACTGTAAGTTGATTCTGTACAAATATTTACTTTTATTAATGTGTCCGCAACTCTCCGCACAGTTGCCAGGAAGCCGATGAGGCAGAACCAGCTCAGTTAGTTCAAAAGATTTTGGACATACTCTATGCAACTGAGGTAAGCGAGAGATTCTTTCTGAATTCAACAACTTGCATAATCAATTTGTTTTGGCACCACAGGATGGCTTTGCGCCACCAGACGATGCACCACCAGAGGACGAAGAGTACTAAAGTATATAGTCAACAGCCCACGATTAATTGTTTGCTGCATACATATATCAAAACCGAACGGATTACTTTTAAGTCAAATTGCTGCGCTAAACTCTTAAACTGAAACTAAATTCAAAAACAACAACTATAACAACAGATGGAACCAACTAACCAACGATAAACAATTCAAAAACAAAAAAAAACTCCAACACACTCACACACACACACACACAAACAACATAGGAACACACTAAATAGAAATGTATTGTATAACAAATAATACACATGGATATATATATATATACATTACACATGTACATTAGCTATTAATAATTCAAGCAAAACAATTTGACCTAGTAATTATGTAACTTAAACATTTACTAAATGGCGATTAGCAGCTTCCGATTGAACATGAATTATAAAATATATAACGCGTTTAAACTGCTCAATTTTGTTTAAGACAAAGCTGTGTTATGTTGCCAAGCATGCAATAACAGAACATTTTGAAGAATAACCAAACAAATTCATGATCAGTCGGCTGCTGCTGTTGCTATTTAGTAAATTGAACATTAAGCATATTGCATCTAAATTGTTTGTTGTAGGTAACACAAAGAGAAAAAGAAAAATTACTACACAGACAGACACAAACAGAAATAAACAAAAGCGTAGTAATGAGTAGCTTGCAAGAAGAAATCGATGTGAAACACAAAATTGTTAAGAAAATATTTAAATTAAATTTATAACAATTTGTTTTTTACTATTTTTTTCAGAGCAATGTGCGAATTTCTTTTTGAAAACATGAATTTATAAGTTTTAATTATCATTGACTTTCGTTGTTTTTTGAGTGTTGTGTGTAGGAAACCAAGTCGAAGTTGTAAAATGTCAGGTAGTTTATGCAGATGAGATTGGCAATTTGAGTTTTTCAAAATTTCTTAAAAATAACAATCATGTGTGCGCATGATATTATGAATATAGTAGTTATTAAGCCAATTTTTGCTATCAACTCTTTTTTATTTCTATATTTATGTGTAAAAATCCGAACGTTAAAAATTTAAATAAAAAAAAAACAAAAGCAACTCTAATTTCTAAAAACACAACTTGATTTATTTTATATTTGTTTTCCATGTCTTGAATTTATCTATAATTTCATCTCAATACTTAATATGACAAATGGGTTTGTATATTTTTTCTTTGTGCTTTTGAGTTTCCGTTCGACACCCTTTTTAATTTGACCACAAAATGCTGTAAATATTTTGTTAAAGCTTTTCAAATCATGGCTTAAATTAATAAAAATATATAAATATATATTACGTATACATTACATATACAAGCACATATAATGTATGTATGTAATTGGGCATTTATTAATGTATGTGTATAAACAAAGTTCTATAAACTAGAATAAAACATGTGTTGCTTCTTGATTCAAAATTATGCTCATCGCATTTCTCATTTTTAATATATGCTACAAAATGCATTCGATATTAAACAAAATATTGAATTAAAATTTATTAATTATCTAACGGCTGACTGAATGTCCGGCTGCTTGTGGGTGCCATCGCAGAAGGGTCGGTGTGTGGTGTGTTTGCAGTTGCAGAGCCAATAGTCGCCGGTTTTCTCCACCTTGAACCGTATGGGCCTGTGGTGAGATTCGGCATTATTGAATAGCCCATAGTTTTATTTGGTTATTTACCTCAGCTTAATCTTGAGAAATTCATTTTTGTGCGTGCCATCGCACAGCGGCTGCGACTTGGACTTGCCGCACAGGCACCAGCTGTAGGTTTTGTCTGTGCAAGTTGCAACATGTGTTGTTGATTATGTAAACATATTTTTAGTATATTACAATATGTCTACGTTAGTTGTTTAACATACCTTTCTCCAGATGCAGTTTAAATGGTCGCTTGTCGAACACGGCGCCGTTTTCCTTTTGCAAATTCGCCGTTTGCTTATCCTCGAGCAAATTTTTGGGTATTGTTTTGGCTGTCGCAGCTGCATCGCCGCTTGGTTTAGCGCTGGTGCTGTAACAAATTTGCTGTGTAGGCAGAGTTTAGAAGTGTTATTTAATTTAAATAAAAGTATATGTGCTTATCTACCTTAAAAAGCCAGGGCGCACGCAGATTTTGTCTTAATATAATCGACATTTTTGTAAAGAATACTTGGCAAGCAGCTTTAAAGTGAAAGGCTGATATAAACAGCTGTTCGCTGCCAAAGTGTGTACCTATTTAAGTAAAAGCAAAAAATGGTCACTCTAAACAGCCTGTGAATTGGTAAGCCGTAAAGTGTGGTATTTAAATACTAAATATAATCAGAAGCAACAGACCAACCTGTTGATGCCCTGACTTTTTTTGTGCTCATATTATATTTGTTTTCTGCTCACTTTCATTATAAATAATAATTCATGATTTTTCGTCTAACACCATAATATCATTTTCTTTTTGCTAGCCTTCAAGGTCGTTCGCCCCTACCATTTAGTTGATTTCACAATAAAATCCGTCAACTGATAAGACAGACACTTCAAATCCCGGCGACAAACATGACAGCATTTAGCAGATATGATTTCAATGCGCCTGGAATAGAAATAAGTCAACGTAACAATTGCATTAGTTAACTTGTACACTTTATCTCTAAACACAATCATTCAGGCTATATCTTTTTACACGCTGAAAATGAAATACATACTAGAAAAACTTGACAACCTTCTAATTTTGCTAGTCCCATTTACGTAAGATACCCAAGATAAGATGCGCAGCAGACTAGGCTTTTATCAAATGAACCTACATACATACATATGTATTTACAAGCTGATTAGCAAAAGTCTTCGTGCAATACAACCCTGTGTTTTGTGTTTATTAAAATTACTAAGCCAGCTTATTTAAATGCTTAAATAAAAAACGTAACTCTAGAATTGATCGTGAAATGGATAATATTTGTGACCCGACATGCCGCTAAACGGCACTGTGCGCACGCCCGTGTGATATTTCTCCATGGCGTCCATATCCTCCTGCTGCAGCTCGAAATCGAATACATTAAAATTCTCCGCAATGCGCGCCTTATTCGACGACTTCGGCAGCGGCACGACGCCAATTTGTATCAGATAACGCAGACAAATCTGTGCCGTTGTCCGGCCGTATTTCTTGGCCAGCTGTTGCGCACGCTCATCGTACAGGAATGGCGGCCAGTGACGCGCCGGCTGCGGGCGCGCCAGCGGGCAGTAGGCGCAGATGACGATACCATGTTGCTGGGCATGCTCGCGCAGCTGCTGCTGCTGGAAGGCCGGATGGCATTCCACCTGGTTGACCACGGGCTTGATGCGACAGTTTTGCAGGACGCGCAACGTTTGCGCCGCATTGAAATTGGACAGGCCAATGCTGCGGGTAAGTCCCAGATCCACAAGCTTCTCCATTTCACGCCATGTATCCAAATAGTCGACATCGGTCAGCTCCAGTGTGCCATGCACATTGTTATCGTTGTGAAACTTTTGGCCAATTGGCAAATGCATCAGATACAGATCAATATAGTCCAGGCCCAGGTTGCTGAGACTCAATCTAAATGCACGCTCCACAATCTCCGGATCGTGGTGTATGCCACCCAGTTTGGTTGTCACAAACACCTCCTCCCGCTTGATCACACCCTCGGCTATTTTCTCGCGTATCGCCTTGCCCACCTCCTGTTCGTTCTCGTAGACGAACGCGGTGTCTATGTGTCTATAGCCAATGTCGATGGCGTCACGTGTCGCCTGATAGGCTTCCGATTCGTATGATTTCCAGGTGCCCAGGCCCAGCACGGGCATCTCGATGCCATTGTTCAACTTGATTTTTGGCGCTACTTTTGGCATTTTGTTGTTAATGAATGACAAATTAAATATAAATATTTTTTGATTGTTGACGCGTTCCTAATTTCGTGCGGATCGATAGCGCAATCAGTTCCAGCACGTCCAAGGTTTAGTGAGCAACTAGCGCGTCTTTCGGCCAGCCGGTTCTACTATTATATGATTCAGCAGCTGGTTTTGCAGTTACAAATGTATAAGTACAAAAGCCCGCATCTCTTTGATACCCTGTGTGCGTAAACTTATGCAAGTGGGTATGACAAGTGTGTGCCAAGGCATGTAGCAGCTTGTGGTGTTGGTTAGTTAATTTATTTTTCTGTCTAGATAATTACCTTTTAGGTATATATACCACTTAATTTTTTTGCTCTTTGGGACTGTAAAAACTAGAGTTATAAAATTAGGTATGTCGTCTTATAAACAAAATGCCGCCGAGATAAAAACACAAAAATATCTTAAGTAAATATTCTACAAATAGAAGAAGAACATAAACAATATAGATCTGTATACTCCAGAACCAATTTGCTAAGACTTAATCTAAATGCACGTTCCACAATCTAATAATAATAAAAATAATAAAATTTATAATTATAATAACACTAAGAATAATAATAATATCACAATAATAATTATAATCATAATAATAATAGCTTAGTTAAGGGTTCGACAGTTTCTTTTCCCATTTCGAACCTTGGTATTTTTGCAGGGTATTTGCACGTCATCCTCTTCAAAAGCTCTACAGTTTCTTTCGTTGAGTCATGCGAAGAACTCACAGCTGACTCGGTTTTCCCCCACGCACGAAAGCTTTCGCTCACGAGCTTTTTTTATAGCGCGCCTTTATTTAAATTCAAAAATGTCCATTCATTTTTTTCTGCTAACACATAAAATTTTTATTTGAATATTAGTTAAAGTTGAAAATGTTCGACATTCAAAGTTACAATTGTGTCCATATGTTTAGGTTGTTTGTAACATTTAAAGATTATTGTTTAAATATTTTTAGCTTTGCATAAATTGTTTTTGGTATTGTAATTGGTTAAAAAGATCTGCTCCTTGAATTTGATAAATATCCATTAATATGTATTAATATGCTATTTCATTAAGATACTATTTGCTTTGCTATAAATGTTTTTCCTTTTGCCTTGTTATGCGGCCAGCTAATTGTTCTTTATTGGTGTTGTATTCTTACTGTGAGCTCCGCTGAGCGTTTTTCTATTAAAACTAGTCTATTTTAAGTAAGTTATTATGATATAGGTATACTCTATATAGGTTGCCAAGCAGCCCATATTTATATATGTATATAGTATTAAGTAAAATTGTCGAGATTGTATTCGTTAGACATGTAAACATTGATTTGAACATTTAGTTAGATGGTTTTGAACATTTACTAATTTCTTTTACTGACTTTTTCACTGACACTCCGCTTAAATTATTAGACCTATTGTGTGAATATTTAGAGCCCGGTATGTTTAAACGGAGGTATATGCGTATAGCTATAGCTTGGATCTTCGTACCCGATTCATACAAATTTATGCAAAGTGCAAAAGGACAAAATAAAGAAAATATTTTTTAGATATAAATAAAAGTTGTACAGATTCTTTTAAGATTGTCAAATCGAATCACAAGTTAAAATTTGAAATTTTTCTCTGTTTGTTGTTTTTCAAGTATATATATATGGTTGGTATATTATTATTATATATTTTAAGATTTTTCCTAACATAGAAATGCTACAAAATATGTATATATGTATATATTATAGCTTTATATCTAAATATTTGACACAAAAAGTTTTGGAAACATTTCTTACCTAAGTAAGATCTAATTTTAATGGGCAAGCATTAATGGTTATATTCTAAAAACCCGTTCCATTTAGACAATGCCTTGGTCTACGTCTAGTATAACATTTAATCTACATATTTAGATGAGTTTTCATTTGGGAAAATTAACAGTTTTCTTTCTTTTAAATGGACAGCATTTTCCCCTTTTTAGGTTTTTGTTTTGTGTGGTATATAAAGTAATTAAAGGCTGTAACTTTCTTACATTCTGTTCGATTTGTTTAAAAAATTGGTGTTCTTTGCGTTGTTTATCAATCAATTCAGAATTGATACAGCATTTAATAAATAAAACAATCGTTGCATACTAAGTATACGCATATAAGTATCAAAAAATTCGTATAACTGTTTTTTTTTGCGGGAGAAACCTGTGAACTTGTTGAGAATTATAATAGTTAAATAAGTGATACATACATACATATAATCTACGTCGTAGGATCTGTTAGTTAGGGTAAAGTCGCCTACGTAGTGGTTCTTGTCTAAGTGGTATATCGTTGTTTGAGAGACCTTCTTGGGAGAGGAGTTGGTTTATTTCGATACTCTAAGTAACTACATTGGCTTACTAATTTTAACTACACATATATATATATATATATTTATATATCAAGCACTGCCTTCTAAGAGACCCTGCAGAGCAGCTAAGAACTTTAGTTGGGAGCTGAGAAATTTATTTAGTTGGGCCTCAGAAAAGACACACACTTGACTTTGAGAACTTTCCGTTTGGTTCTCTTTTAAAGTAATTCCTATTCTATGTACATCTGAATATGAAGCCATTTTAATTTTCTTTTGTACACATACTACAACTAATAAGGTCCCTCTCCAGTGTGTTTATTTTTTATATGCTTAAACTAAGCATATTAATATTTATTTGAATCCAACTTAAAGAAAACTAAGCTTTTCTTTTTTTTTACAAAATAAAACAACTGAAAATAACTGACTATAAATATATGTGTTTGTTTGTATTTTATTCATGGATGTTGCATAAATTAATTATGTTTATGTGTGTGTATATAAAAGGAAACAGAAAATTTAAATAAATGACTTAGCGCTACATAACTTATATTTTTATAACTAGCTTCAACTAGATTTGATTATGTTTATATATATGTATATATATAGTTTAGTCGCTTAGTTTTATGACATGCCAATTATTCGTTTTTTTTTTCTTATTAAAAAAATAGATTCCACTTGTGTATACCCTTTTCATATGGATTGGTGCATAGCCTTGACTGGATATATAAATGATTATTATTTGTTTTATATTTTTTAGCAAAGTTGTAGGAAATTGGTTTAGTACATTTGTTTTTGTTGCTGTTGTTGCTTCCTCTAAATGTTTAGTATCACACACGCCCATTTGTTTGTTTGTTTGTTTGTTGCGTCCATTGGGTTTGGGAATTTCGGTTCAGACCCCGCCCCCCCTACCCAAAAGCCAAATGTTGTTTTTTGTTTTTTTATCATTTTTGTACCAAACCGAAAAGTTTTTTGTTTTGTGTTGTTCTTGTTATGTTTCAGTTCATGTTGAAAATTGAGATAGTTGTTTTTTTGTTTTTTTTTTTGTTTTTTGCCAAGCTTACATAAATATTACTTAGTTTCTGACTAATATGAATAAAGTTAGCTTATTAGTTGATTACTTTTATATTTGGGTTTTGCCGCTTAGTTTAGAATGCACTGGTTGGTCGCTAGCGGGGCAGCAGCTAAAAACAACTCAGCTAAGCTCATAACTGTGCAGTTGATTACAGTTGAATTAGTTAAATTAATGGAGCCTGTTATAAACCCATTAAATACTCATCATAGACACTAATTACGCGTTTATACTAGGGGACTATACGACGACTTGTTAACGCTTAGATTTGTTTAATTTAGCTTCCTGGTTGGCTCCACCTTCTGTGACATGGCGGTCACAACCCGCTGATTGTCAATCACACGAAAACTGCTGATGTACGAACGCACCTCGCCCTCGCTTTTCGGTGACGGCGGCTCCAGACCTGAAATAGTCATTTAAAAAGAGACATTTAAAAAGAGACATTTAAAAAGATATTCATATTAAATGTACTAGCTTAATGACGTTAAACATAAACAGTTTATGCTTAAAGAGCAGCCATATAGGGGAAACTAAATTTGTTTGGGGGAAAGCTGAAGATTTAAAAAATTCTCTTATGTTCATTAATTTTAGTTTCGTGGGCATCTAAAACCTTTTTTGTAGAGAACTGCTTGATAAAAGAACATTTGGGGTGGGAACTAATATAATATTATAATTGGTTTAAGTTCCAAGTTTAAAGATTTATGAAATTAAATAATATTTGATCTCAATACAGCCTTAAAAAAAGGTAATTATTTTAGCCAGCTTTTCAACTTAAAGCTTGTATATAGTATGAAGTCGCTTGAAGCTTTCATGGGATTTCATTTTTTATGGAAAGCCCTTCTAAAGTTTTTTTTTCATTTAATCAAATTGTCAAAGCTCTAATAAAATGCATGTAAGATATATTCAAATTTAAGAAGTCTTTAAAAAATTAATTATTAAAGCTCAATGCAGTCTTGAAATGCAGTCCGCCGAAGCTTTAAACATTAACACGAAAAATTATATCATTTTTTTAATGAAAACTCCCACAATCAGAGGAATCGTAAAGTTTCTTGGTCCAGTTCAAAGTTATAAGCTTGTCTTTTAAAGCTTTTTTCTTTTAATCAAAATGTCAAAGCTCTTCAAAATTCAGTCTTCAAATGTAACTAGCTGAAGCTTGAAGCACTAAGGGCAACAAATTGTAGCTTACTTTTTAAGTTAAAGCTTTTATATGGGATGAAGTCGCCTGAAGCTTTTATGTGCTTTCCTTATTTAAAAGAAATGCCTCAAAGCTGCTGGTTTCAGTTCCACATTCAAAGCTTTCATGAAGCTTTCATTACTTTCGTTCATTTGCACATTAAACCTCTTTTAATTTGATCAAATTGTTAAAGCTCCGTATAAGAATTCATCTAATATTCAATTGTAATTTTAAAACTAGATTCCTGACCAACTCACCCAAACTTCGGGAACGGCAAAAGCGTATGGTGCGCATTGTTTGTGCCATCATGTGCATTTTCTCAAAGTTGACCAGTCCGTCAAGGCTCGTCTTGTTGCCCTCGTGGGCAAAGGTCATGTCCTTGAGCAGCAGCGGCATAAAGGGTATTAGCGGGGGCTGCAGCTTGCCCACAAATACGCGATAGGCGCGATGATTGCGACTGGGATCGATAAGTGCTTCGAACTCTTGAAAGATTTTCCTGAATTTCGATGGTATCTTCTCCCAGGTCTGATGCATCCGTGTTACGGCCATATTCGACAGGCCCATGACAATGGCAAAGAAGGCATTCAGATTCTGATACTCCTTGCAGCTGTGGTCGGTAGAAAATGTCAATATTGTAAGCGTATTCGATTTTGGTTAGGATATTTGGGCACTTACTATGCGGCCAGCTTGATGAATTTACGCACAAGGCCCACGCGCTTGCTCAGGCTGGGCGTGGAGACGAGCTCGGTGACAATCCAGTATTGCACCTCATTGAAGCGCCGCAAAAACACATCCAAATTGGCCGTAATCTGTGGGATGTGCGGTAGCAGAGGTGTCAGAGAGTCAACATTAGTATTTAACTTGGCAAGCTTTAATTGCTTGAGAGGCCTTGAAAGTTCAGGCCGACAACTCGTGCCAAAACTCAATTTGCAGCTACATGACAAATGCCAGACTTGTAAATAGTTGACGGCAAACTTGAAACCTTCTCTAAGTATGCCCCTCGGCCTGGGGGCGAGACGTCTCTACCTGCAGTTACAGCCTAATTAGCCGAAAGGCTTTTAAAACTTCTGCCAAACAATGCAACGAGGCAGCCAGAGGCAATTTCAAATGTGTGCCACAAATAAGCTCTATCTTTCTCTCTCTCTTTCCCTCTGTACACTTGCAGAAAAGATGTGCTATATATATACTACTATATGCGTTTTTTTTACAAATATTAACGGAAACTTCATTCAATATTATTTCACCTCTATATATGTACATCTAAAAGATAAATAGAAACAACTAAAGCTAAAGTATATTCTGATACTTATCGTAGAAAAGTTTGGCGCTCTATAATCAATCCTACACATATTTTGACTTTTCTTAAACACAAGATTCTTGAGTTAAATTACAAGATAGATAGATAGATAGATAGATTCGGATAGATTTAAAGCATAAGAAACATGGATTTTTTTCAATATATGTCCTCAAGACTTTTCGAAACCTGAAGCTCCCGCTTTGCCAAGTATTTACCGAAAGATAAAAACTCTGATAAAAATTTTTGTTCAAACACTTTTCCTATATATTATTTTTGTCCTTCGAAGACAGTTATACTAAAGTAAAACTACATTGTATACTAAAGTGTTGTACTAAAGTACTTTAAAGTAATAAAGTAAAAAGTAAGAAAATATAGAAAAGAGAATTACTTTGGTAAACATTTTAACTGGAAGTTAAGCCTTATCTTTAACAGTTATTATATATTTTAAGTCTATAGATCTATCTATCTATCTATCTATATCTATCTAGACCAAGAATAATGTAAAATATCTTCTAAGAGGTCTAAATACTTTTTCGGACTGGCCGAGAATTTGTAAGCTCTGAGCCTAAGTCTAAGTCTGTCAAAAGTATTCATTTTTTGATAGTCGATTATTGTTGGTCAATTATCTGCCTAAAAAAAAATGTACACATTTTTGTTACAGACTTTTTTTTAGACATATCCGTCAACAACAAATGCAAAGAGTCGAAACGAGTCGGCTTACAGTCAGACTACAATCCGTTCTCCTAATCTGTTGTTAACGGTCTAGCTCACATTAGACAATTGTCTGACCGTAGCTAAACTTAATTTATAAATCATATAGATAGTGTTTAGTTTTTTGCGAGTGTACCTTGCCAAAGTGATGCCTGCCAAATGTATGATAGAGCAGCTCGTATTCATGCACCGCCCAAAACAAATCCCATTCAAAGATTGTGATGTGATAGGCCAGCTCTTTGGTGCTCAGGATTTCCAAATCGATGTCGACTCCCTCTGTGGGGCATTCCTGCTCCGGCAATGGGGTCTGCACAAAGCAACAGATAATTGTCAAAGGCAAACGAGAAGAAGGGATTTTCATTGATGGACTTACCAAGGCATCCAAATGATCCTTGACGGACACAAACAAACGGCCATTGAGCGTTAGGCCCGTGGGTATGCTAACATCATTATCCTTGAATACGGACCGTTCCCCATTGGATTTCACCTCGACGAGGCAGAGGTCGTCGGGTCCACGATTCAATTGCAGCTTGTCCGCCGCACAGGCCTTGATTAGCTCCGCGGTGGTATGCATGGGAAAGCGCAGCGTGCAATATGTGTGGTCTGCACAATACACACGGAAAATGACTGCCACAGAGAGAGTACAGATAAGTCGGCTTTAATTGCATTGCGCACTGCTGCACTTACTGTCATCGTCCGGCCTGATGACCGTCTTTGAGGGCGTCGCATTGCCGCTGAACAGGCAAATCGGTTGTCCATTTGTTGGCAACTTCCACTTTTGGCCCGCATTCTGATTGCGATCCTCCTGATAGCGCGCCATTTGTGTGAGGACATTGTGTATGATGCTTGTCTCCTCGTTCAAATCGGGATCTGCTTCCACCTCAGCGGCCAGATCTTCTATGAAATCGCATACGCTCGGCTCCTCGAAAGCCGCGTGACGCACCGCCATGACCCACTTTTGCATGAACTGTATGACCCGCTTCTTAAAGTTGATTATATATTCGCGATCCTCTGGCGTTTGCGCCTCCTCATGCGCATCACAATGAAAGGTGCACAGTGGTTAAGGAATAATCAAAACAGTTGCCTTAAAACAAAAACAAAAAAAAAACACAAAACAAACTCGGAAAATTGCGTAGCCCGAAGAACTGTCGCTTTCGGCACGCACCACGCACAATCAATAGAAAGTGGACGGCAGTTTTCGGGGGTCTGAAACTGGCTGCTTATTAAGCACATCACGTATTTCAATGCAGATTGAAGATTAGTTTCAAGCATCATTGAGCCCCGTCGCCCCCGCTGCCCCACTGTCCCACTGCCCCCCTGTCCCACCTGTTCTTCCCAACTGCTGCTGCTGCTGCTGCACTAAACATTACCGAATTGTTGACCCAATGTCCAAGGACTCTGTTATTATTGTGTGTGTACGGGTGTGCGTGTGCGTGTGTATCTGTGTGTGCTTAGACGTTTTTCAACTTCGTTGTGGCTTTTGTTTTCCGTATGCAGAGGCAAAGAATTTAACAGTTACTTTAACCCGCAAAGAAGTGTAGCAGTTAGTTAGTTCTCTATTTGATACCCTTTCTGCGAGTATTCGAATTTTTTCAATGAAATATGTAACACTTTGAAGGGTTACGTCAATAACAAAAATTTTGATTGTTTTGTGGTGAAATGAAAATTTCCCTTAGTTAAAAACAATGACAAAAAATTAGAAATTAAAATAGGTTTCTTTCTTCCACACACGATCATATAAATGGATTAGGTTCTATATAATTGCATATAGATAAATTAAATTAAGTAGCGAAAAAGGTTTTTGCCTTTAAAAACTTTTCAATCAAGAACTAAAAAGAACATATAATTAACCTTAAGAGGTTACATTAAAAATATTAAAAAAAATCGTATTGATTATTTTTAATTTTTAGAGATTCAAATAAAAATATTGCAATTTTGACTTTCGAAAATAAGTAAGGGCATTAGGTCTTCGGTTTCCCCGTGGAACACTCTTCTATTTTGTTATTTCACTCTTGATACTTTCGAGTCACGAACCTGACTTCATGTTCTGCCCATATGTGTGGGCGTGGCCATATGTGTGGTTTGCATGCTGCCAACACTTAAACTGTCGCTGTGGATATGTTTGTTGACCTCCCTCCCGTCACGCCCACAGCCCCTATTTACGACTCTGCCCAGGAGAGAACGTGACTCCTGTGTCAGTTGTTCTATGGCCAAGTGCTTAGTTTGAAGCGGCGGCGGGGCGTGTGTATTTTATTTTTTGTAAAGTGCTATGCTTAAAGTGGATCATTTTGGGGTCTAGCTTCAGAAAGGGTCTTTAAACTGTCGGCGCTGGCCGAGTCAAGTTACGTTTAAGCTGCGGCACGTGGCCGACATGCACAAAAGGCGGCTCAAGAAATTCAATTAAATCTTGTATAATTTCATTGCTTGATTTGGGTTGTAAATCAAATCATAAAGTCTCCATTGAAAGCAACAAAACTTGCACTGATTAGCCCACTTTTCACTGGTAGCTATTTCTGCAAGCTTGCGCTGGAACTGTTTGGGAATTATAAGCTTTGCGCGCAATGAAATTGTTAAGTGCTCACGCCTTAAAACTTTCTAATTGAATACAAATTTATGATAAACCTGTAAAATGTGAACAATTGACATATTTAAAATAATGTCGAATATATATACTTCGTTTTGCGGAAGGAATTTGGATCTTAAGACCTGTCTATAAGGAAAAGTCCCTGACTAGAGTGGAAGAAGATTCAATTAGACCGAATTAGTCTATGACAAACATTGCTCTACCTAAGCTTGACTTAACTTAAATGGTTTAAATTTCAATTTGTTTTGTAAAAAGGATATTAGTTGGCCAGTTCGTCGACGAGCTGCACCACAGGCATAAATACGATATGCGTGAGCAGAAAGTCATCCAGAAATGGATCCATGCCGCTGACGGTCTGTCCCAGGCGCGTCTCAAGCAAATGTTCCAGCATTTTGTTCGGTGTGCCCGACATCACGGTATATCTGTTAAAGGATATACACATATATGGAAATTCAGTCACGTTTAACTTAAACCGTAAATGCGCAATCAAATTCAGGTGTTTGCTATTTTACAATTTCAATTAAAATTAACGCGTGATGGTGGGATCAGTGAGTGGGGAGGGGAATGCTTGGGAATACATTTGCAGTGCAATTGCCACTCACTTGAAAGCCGAATGTTGTCCACGTTGTTTGGCCACGCGCTCAAGTACTAGCACATCCTTGCCATGCTCCTGCAATCTCAATGTATTGGCCTCAACATCACGTAGAATGCGATTGAAGTGCTCCTTGTCCACGCGCAGCAGATGGCAATTGTTCTCCTTCAAAACGATTGTGGCTGCTCTGTAAATATATATATATTTGAAGAAATATTAATACGAGAAAAATATTTTTTAAGAAACTAAATTTTCTCATGCGATTGGATGGCTCTAAGAAATTAAGCATATCGGATGTACATTTTATTTATTATTGTTAAAATTCGTTTATATTGATTTTCTCTGTTTTTTCTGACTAATAAGTCATTCAATCAGAACGAACAATTTTAATTATATAGACAGCACGCATTAAAATCCTGTCCTAAATCCAATAACAGAGTTTGGAAATTTTTAGCTAACAAACTTTTCATAAATCATGTTTTAGCCAAAATGCTTTTAATTAATTACATTTTGTCAAACTGTTCAACAATTTTTGGCACTTTTTGCAACTCCCCTTCCCCCTTTACCTTCCTCCTTTCTCACTTCCCATAATGTGCAAATTTGCATAACTGCATGTGACGCATTTTGCAGCGAAAATTTAATTTTGCATGCGGTCAACATTTTCAGCTGTTAAATAAAAGCAATCGATGGCTGTGTGTAAAAGCCCGCGTAAATAACCTTTATTTGTCAATTTTCGCTATGGAGGCGTGGTTAAATCCATCTTTCAATATTATCATTGCGGTTTCTGCGAACGGCGTAATGCTTTATTTTTAAAGCAAATAATGCATTTGAATTAACGTGAATTTCAGTGCAACGTTATGTGCTTGTTATTCCCATGTATTTTAAGTGGTTTTGTAATTAATTTATTTATGGTAACTCAATAGACGCAGTTAATTTTTACAAAATTTCCTTTGATTTCTTTTTCATTTGTATTAATCCGTTGTGTTTTCTGATTGGCAATAAATAAAAATATAAATAATAATAAAAACAAGAGCTTTGCCTTAAGTATGCTATTTAATTTGCCAAGAGCTTTTGTTTTGAGGTTCTTTAAGGTTAATATTAATCTGTTTTTAATCTTGAAAGCTCAAACATGAAAAGCTTTCATATTTTCTTCAATTAAGTATGTACTGTTTTTACACTGAAAGTTCACATAAGCCTTAAAAGCAGCTTGTAGTGTTTCTACATATTTCAAATTTACTCATTATAATTTTTTATAAGCTGAATAATTGTAAATGAAAGCTTTTGTATGCCAACTGAGCGCTTTTAAATTGCACAAAATTGTTTTTAATAACCAAGGCACACTAGAATTTAAACTAACAAAAATTAAATCTTCTTACGAGACTGTTCACTTTGAGCATGCACAGATATTTTTTTAATTTAATCCCGTCAAAAGCTTATTAATGTGTTTTCAAAGCTCTTTGAGATTTTTGTTAACAAGTCAAACTGTGCTTAAAGCAAGTTCTACTCTTTTATCAAACAATTTTCACCATTTCGTTTGACTATAAACTTTAAGCTGCTGTTATTGACCCATTAAAATCTCTGCTTCTGGCAGCACTTTTGATTAACTGCATGTAAAAGTTAGTGTAGTAAATGCCCCATATTTTGTTTCAATCCTCAATTGATGGCTATTATTGCCGCACAATGGCTGCTGTTATCAGTCATTGTTATTGTAGCTGTTATCTGTGTGGCAACAAAGTGTCTAATGCTATTAGCTTGCCGCACTTGCTGGATCTTTGCTCACATTGTTGTGCTTGGCCAAGTGCAAGAGTGTGGCGTGTGGCCCACATTGTCTATCTACATATATATACATATATATCTAGATACATATATATCTGGTATTTGGGTGAAAGTAAAAAGTGCTGTAAAGTAGCTGAAAACCCATAGCGAAAGAGATGTGAACGATGTAAAGAGAATTGTTAATGGTTTACGTCCCGTTTAGAAAAGTTTTTGGGACCAAAAAAAAAAAAAACCAAAAATGAAAAACGAAAACTTTTAGCCCAACAAACTGACAGTTTAAAATGTTGCGCGCTTTGTAAAAGGTGGTACCAGGTTGTTTTTAATGGATACGTTCAGAAGTGTAAAAGGTTTGCAGTTAGCTTCACTTACCGGGGTGCGTCGTTAATCAAAGCCAATTTGCCAAAATCATCGCCAGTCTTCAGTGTGGCAACAGTCCCTTTGCCATGTATCACAACATCCACGGATCCTTTGAGTAATATGTACCAGGAGCGGCCCTCGTCGCCTTGATTGAATACTATGGTTCGTGTTGTTGACATTTATGTAATGAGGCGCGTAAAAAGGGATGAACGGCAAAAGGGATAACAGCGTTAAGAGCTTTTTCTTATTATATAACATATCTATATGAACATATATATTTTTTTTCTTTATTTATTGTGAAATATTTAGCTCAACTTGCGGGAAATTCAATTAACAAACTTTGCCTGACTATAGCCTGGCAGGGGGTATTCGAATATTGGCACGAAATGTCCCATGTTGACAGCATGTACATATAAACCTCTGATAAAAATCAACAGAGAGGAAATTTATCTTGATGATAAAAGGCATAGAATCTATATATCGGTCAGAATATATTACTTATATTATTGCATGAAATGTTAGTCTTGATCCAAAATATCAACTATAACTAATCAACAACAGATGACAATATAATAATTTTATTTTTTCTATGAAAAACATTTAAGCCTTGGTATAAATTTAAGCTATATTAAGTTTCATGTTTGTTTATTTGTCAAAATGATCTAATTATTCTCTAGGACTCTCCCATGTCAAGGGTATTTAATCTTTGACCAGCTGTAAGCCAATAGTTATTTCAGGGTACTTGTTCAATTTGTAAGTTAATTAATGTAAATGAGTTTTTAATTGAAGAACTAATTGTCAATTTGATATGATACTCACATATGGTGCCCGCCTGTGCGTGGGCTTCGAATACAATTATTGAGGATAGCTCACGCTTGATGCTAGTCGATAAATGGGAGAGGGCTGCTATATGAACCAGTTCCTCAAATACCAGTTCCAGTTCCTCGGGTGTGCGCTCGTGTGAACTGTGTGCATATAAATTGATTAAAAACAAATAGGCGCTTTCGGGGTTTGTGTCTTGCATTCGACAATGCAACGAATTGGCAAGCCAAAGGCAAAGGCAAAAGCAAATATCAATCATACGCACTGTGTGCGCAAAGCACCATTTGCATAACTTATTATCTGCTTGTGTGTGTGTGTCTATCTATGTGTGTGTTTGTATGTTGTGTGTGTGTGTCAAGTTGTGGCTTCTGCCAAGCAGACAATAACTAACATTTCGGCATTAAGCTGCTTTTCATTCGCATACTTTTGGCATTGCCAGCTTAATAAGTGCTTTTCAAGTAGTACAATCAATATTGCACTTACGGTTTGCGCAATATCATGCGCAATGTTGCATCTGGACCACGTTGAAAGAGTGCACTCAATGCCTCACGTATATGCTCATTAGCTGCACTGAGATCCTCAGCAGCTGGTATGCCCGCTGCAGGTGCTCCGCCCTCCTCGTCCAAGCGAAATCGATACAGAAAGCATTTATCCTTGAATGGCTGCTCCTTGTTAACTGTTGTAGAACAATGTGTTAACGATTGTTAAATTCGTTAATTGTGGCATTAATTGCAACTGAAAGTGAGTAAGCTTCTCTCTTCACTCTCACTTTGGCCCCCCCCTCTCACCATGTGTCAGTACGCCTTCCTCGAGCAACGCCTGCCACATGCCCGCCGCCTGGGCGCGTGTGTGCACAATGGGCGCCAAGTTAACCAGCCAATCCACCAGCTCTGTACCGGGCGCACACTTGCGTATTAGCTTGCCAGAGACCTACAACAATTGGTTATATAATAGAAGTTGACTTTGTGCAAAGCTAATTGCCGGCCATTACTCACCTTGCGATCCTTCAAACAGCTTGAGTTATCGACCACCAATAAAGTTCGCAGCGCCCAGCCCATGCGGTTCATAGCAGGACTCGGCGACTGGTGTTTAAGGTGGCAAATGCATGAAAATATATTCAGAGAATTGAATAGTTATACATGTGTTATGTTCTATTTTTAGATGTATTTTTTTATAGCAAAGGGTTTCACACAAATAAATATCCTCAGCAAAATTCTTAACATACTTCTACAAATATTTCATCAAAAAATTCAATTAAAGTTTTATAGAACATTTTCTGTAAAAATGCTTCTAAGTGGAATTCACAGCAAGAGATGTTGGAATTTAAATAATGATAAATGAATTAAAACTATATTCAAATAAATTGACTAGAATATATATAATATACACTTTTGGGTAATCCTTCAAATTAAATTTATATTTTTTGGAAATATTTTGAGAAAGCAAAATCAGAACTTAAATATTAATTTCTCTCAACGCTTAGATATGAGAGATTTTGCAGAAATATTTTTTTTTCTATTTTTAATAATTATATTTTATCTTTTAACTTTTAAGATAACTTTTTTGATAGGTTAAATTTGTTTTACTGATTCTTTAACTTATCTTATAAATGTTACCAAAATGTTAAGTGATTTGTGTAGAGTTTAATAGTTAATAGTTTAAAATTTTGAACTTTCTACAAGAGCTGTCAGTACAGTTTATTAATTTATTATATAAAAATTTAATTTGCCTTTTCTACTAAATCATCTCGGTTTCTATAAACATCAAGAAAATGTGCTCAAATTTGACAAATGATTTAATTAGTCAGCCTGCACGTTTTTACTAACTGATTTTTCAGGAAGTTAAAGTGGCATAGGCTCAATGTCAACTAAGGTCCTGGCACAATATATATTTATCAAAGTGTAGGTGTGGGTGTGTGTGTGTGTGTGGGTGTACTTTGTGATTTATTACACTTACGCACGCACACACGCACGGAAACCTACGCAAAGTCTGTCTATTTACCTCGGTAATGGGTAGCGCTGGATTGGGATGATCCGGACTCAGTGGGCGTTTTGTAGGCGATGTGGCAGCTGCTGGCTGTACGCCGGGTCCAAAACCTATTAATAGTATACGAGAATAATATCAAGGTACGTTAATTTGAGCGTCTGCGGTGAGGCGACACTTTATTAAAATATTAATAAATATATAATTGATTTTTTCATGTTAAGCTGGTATTTTAATGCTGGTTTTTAATTAAAAATAATTAATATGCATTGTTATACCCTGTACCCATTGAAATTGTTGGTGAAAATGTATGTATCAGCCTGAGAAAGTCAACGCCGAGCTAATATAGAATATATAATATATTATATCGATCTCAAAGACTATAGGAGCTATAGACTTTAAAATGGGAAAATAAGTTCTAGAATGTGTTATTAATTTTATATTGTCGATAATGCGCATGTTTGCCTTAAATCGATAAATATCGATACATAAATAATTCGATAAATATTACAAATATTTTCATTAGAACTTTAAAATTTGAGTATAATTGGAAGAATTTGTGTCTTCCGAAGATAATATATCTATTGATAACGCTCTTGTTTGTCTGAAATCGATAAATATCGATTGTCGGCCGAGCTTTTCAGAGATATAAACTTGAATTTGTGTATGCACACATATTAAATTGCCACAAAAAATATAGAAGTGCAAAGCGAGCAAGCACAGACTTTCTTAAATTCGTATGTCTGGGTACAGGGTAGCCCGCAAGTCGATCACCGTTGAGTAAAGCCATTTTATTTATTATTAACATCTGTTACATACCATTCTTTAATTTGCAATTGGTAATAATGTCATTCATCAACTCCTTGTTTTTCTGCAATTACAAATAGATAATGGGTTAGTAATCGAGCTGTTATTGTTGTTGTTGTTGCTGTTATGTTTATAAATATAGCAATAAATTGTTGTTGTTTATGTTGTTTTTGCTATGGCTCATTGCAATTGTTGATGACGCGTACATTGTTCATTTCGAATGCCGTTGATTGTGGACGCTGCTGACGCTCCCCACGACGCCGCAGCTTGACAGAAGCGGAAGTGGCGCCAGCTCTTTTTGTTGTTGTTGCAGTGGCAACTGTTGCTGCTGTTGTTGTTGCTGTTGATGCTGTTGTGTCTGTTGTTGCTGGCTGCTTGTCGCTGTCGCTGTGGCGTCTGTAGCGCAGCAGCAAGCACAGCGCCGCCTCGTCGCTGGCCACAACTTGGCCAGAACGACGCTGGAATTGGCGCTGTTCGCGCTGCAGCTGTCGCAATTGGACAGCTGACATCGGGGCAACACACTTTCACTTTAGACGCTCGGGTATTTCTTGGCACATTCTTTGCGTTATTTTTATTTTTAGTATATTCGTATTTATTTCTTCGAGCTTTGAGACAGGTAATTTCTGTCAAACGTTGTCGCGCGCACTGATAAGCCAGCTGGTGGGGCGCACAGTTGAGGCGCGCCTTGCCACTGCATGTCTCATTGTTTTTGTTTCGTCTTATCAGCTTCACTGGCTAGGGTTGCCAGAGCGCCCGCCAAATAAGGCAGCTATATATAGCTGGCAATTTGTCGTGACATTTTCAGAAATAATCAAAGGCTGTGCTGAAGGGCAAGGGCAAGGGTAAAACGCCCGCATGCCTTACAATGTTCTGTGTTCATTAACAAAGCGAGCAGGGTATATTGGTTTTGTGAAATCGCCGTCTGTTCGTCCGTCCGTATGAACGTTTCTTTTCAAAATGTATAATGTTGTATATCCGCCTCAGATAAAGTGTCAACATATTTGAAATACGGCTCAATAGGACAAAAAATTCGAAATCTTTAAACATTTTTTAAATTACAAGTAAAAAATATTTATTATAAACTAAAGCTAAAGTGAGGAATCATTACACTTAATTAAAATTACTGATAATTTTTTCTTCCACAATTTTGAAGCAAGATTTTGCTACAGATATAAGTATTTTTGACGAGCCCAGCGTCTTTATATTCTAGTTTAAAATTTAAAATGAGAAATATTTATAAGCTTCTCTACACACTTTTTTTGACAAATATTTTGCCTATGCAAAGCAGAAAGGAAGTTTTAATTGTTTACTTGATGTCGACCTTATGCTTTTTGCTCGATAAGCGATAATCGATAAATATCGATAGCAAATAAATAGATATATATTGATCAAAAATAAATAGATAAATATATATTAATAAATAAACAATAAATAAAGATAAATAAATCGATAAACGTTGTAAATTTTGTTTCTATCCATCTGCGTGCTTTGATCTGTTTTTGAATTCTGAAGGCGTATTAAACAGTCGGTCACACGAAAATTCGTTCTCCCATTTTTTTACGCTTGAGAGCACTTGGCGCACAGCTGATAAGCAGCACAGCGCCGCAGCGTTTGGCGTTGGCGTCTACGCTAATTAAACTCATTTTCACTTATCAAAACGCACAGCGGGACCATTGAGCGCGAGTGCGACAATTGTCGCTAGATATGATGAACTCAGGCAAGACAAGAGGGGAGCGCTGGCCATTGTCGTCGCCTTTGCCTTGGAAACAAAAGCAGACTTCGATAATAATGCTCATAGAGGGCTGTCAATAAGTAGGACTATTCATTTGAGCCATATTGTCTGACAGAGTTGAGTTGGGGGCCATAACGAAGCAAGCAATTTCATTCAGGGTCAATTTGATTCAAGTCTTTCTTTATGCGTTAACAGAGGAAAACCGAAATTAATTATGGAAAATATGAGAAAAGCCATGCTCGAGTGCCCCAAATGCCCAAGCATTAAGTTGTTTTATTTATGAGTTTAATAATATTGGTACCTAAATATTGCCATGAAATAAATTTCATGAGAGCTCTGCTATGATACTAAAACCAAATTCCACTTATAAGAGTGAAATATGAATGGAAAGGTGTTGCTTTATGAATATGTTTTAAATGTAATTATATTTTTGTTACAACTGTGCTTGGAATGCGGGATCCAAGTGTGTATGATTGCATCTTAAAAATGTGTTAAGTTATTTGGATACATCTGCTCACCAAAGGTGAAAATAGAAGGTTGCTTTCACGAGTCGGTTTTGGCAAAGAGTCTTACATGGGATTTCACAATAGAGTTTAAATTATGTCCGATTGGGACAAATGACTTTTTGAAATAATATGAATAAGCACATTTATCACTAATATAGTCAAATCCGCCGCTACTCGCGAAAAACAGGTGGAAAACTGTAGTAATAGTATTCAGCTGCGCTTAGTAGCAGCACTGCTAGAAACTTTACTGTAAGGTCCAATGAAGTCAGCCAGGGTAAGTTGCGAAGTAAATGTAGCATAATTAAAGTGCTGTCTATTTAATTGAAATTTATGCAACAAAACAAAGCCAAGTGGAAGTCCTGCAATTGCCACTTGTCTGCCTGGTGAGAGAGGGCCATTTGCTGCCCATTGAACATGCGCTAGTTGCAGCATTTGAATGGTCGTTAAAGAGCTCGTGATTTGCGTGGCAAACACAATTATTTCCAGTTCACACGACACACACACACGACACACCTATGCACATACACACATACACAGCTGACAGGTGCGGAAATTAGACCCGGCATTTTGTGGCAGCGCAGCCTGAGACAAATTGCTGTTGAAATACGAATTCCCAAATTTACTCATCTTCTGCAAATTTGGACATCAATTATTTTGCCTTGCAGTCATAAACTAGACTCCGAATTTAGAGGCACATTCAAGGTGAATCTTTAAAAAAATATTTGAATTTAATTTGGCACATTTTATTGGACTTAATGCATTTCATAATACACAGCCTGCAGCTGGTATAAACAAAAAAGCTGGCGCACATGTGGTATACGTAATGCACAGTCCATAAATAATAGAAAAGCGCAACGTTATTTGGCATGCCCCAGCTGCACAACATGCACCATTGCGTGCAACAGAATTGGACATGCGCTTTATTTATTTATTTATTTATTTCTGTACGAGTACAGGCACGACTGTAACTTAGAACTAGGAACACACACACACACACACACAGCAAATGACACAATAATATTGTATCAAATGCCATTAAGGCAGAGTGCAGCAGTAAGGCAGAAAAATATGTCAGCCCCTGTTTGGGGAAATACATTAAAGGAAGCCATAATTACTTGCAATTCCTTGGGTAATGCCAGTATATAACATTTTATTATTTAACTTTACTTGGGTAACTACTTGACTGTACATAATATTTAATTATTTAACAAAAATTTCTTGTTTAACTCCTGTGTAACTCCTGTAATTATTATTTAACTAAAAATACTTGGGTTATTGGTTTTGTGATTCCTGTATAGGAAATTTAATTATTTTAATTAGATAACTTGCAATTACTTGGGGGATTCCTGAGTATAGAATTTAATTATTGCATCAAAATTACTTGAGTAATTATGCTTCGAAATGTGTAATTAAATATGTATATGTAATAATTATTTTATTCACTTTGCAAAATGTTATATTGTTATTATTATAACAAAAAAAAATGAAGTTTTTATATTAAAAGCTTCCACACTTTCAATCAAAACTTCATTAAATAATATGACTTTTTGCTCTCTTCTTTTTAAACACATTTCTATCAGTATCCGAATCCATATCGTACAGCTGTCATCTGGGGTTAAAAGTGTATTTAAGCTTCGTCGCCCAGACTTTGACTTTTCTTACTGCTTTTTGCTATTTCTGCTGTGAAAGTAAATATTTGCGCGCAAATCAAACAATTGCCAGGCACTCGCAAGGCGCAGCATATAGCACAACACACAGACACACACGGACACACACACTCATACACACGTGCAGTTGAGTGTGAAAATTTGCAGTGACAACTCTTCGCGTAATATATTTTCAATTTAAACTGATTTTATCGCATTTACCAGGAGCTGGTGCTGCAGCAGCGATTTGCAACATTTTATGGCACGCGCTGTGGGCGCTTAGCTTCATTGTTGCACATTGCGTATACGTAATATATGTTTGCCCTGCGTGCTGCAGATACTTTGTTATCTGCCGTTGCCCATCAGCCAGGTTACAGTGGCAAGTAGCAAGTGGCAAGTAACTACATATCTCTCTATGGGTTAGCCAATGTTGCCCCAATTTGAGGTTACTTTTCTCTTTATTTATTTTACTTGGTTTTTCTTCTTTTTTTTTTAACTCCAAAGGTAAATATGCATTCATTCATCTTGTGCGTGGGTGTGTGTGTGCGGTTGGTTTATACCTTTTGTGCGTGTTTCCATTCAAAGTGCGAGCATATTTGCCCCCCAGGGGCAAGTTCACAACTGCGTGTAGTGCGCGTGTGTGTGTGTCTCTGTGTGTGGTTAGCCCTAAAAAACGGAATCTTCTTTAAACTGGCAACTATGCTTGTGTATGTGTGTCTATCAAACATTTGGTATTTTGTCATTGGGTTTGGAAAAGTTTGTTGACGAATTCTGTGGCTTTCATTTCGGCTAGAACCCAATGCAAATATAATGGTCACTGATTGCTCAAGATTAGTTTAGGTTGAACCGCAAAAGCTAGTTTCCAGCAGGTAAAATTCAATACTGCCAATTGGCATGCAATTCAATTAACTTTACCGTCACCATTCAATATACTTAAGAGCGATCCATAATGGCATTCGTATGTTATGGACATTTGAATTTCTAATTAATTAGCTTGGATCCTTTAATGCGTATTGAAACCTGCAGCGCAATATTATTAATTACCATTAATGAATAATGCAAATCGATTAGCCTGCCAAAGACTTTAATTCAATTTTGGTAATTGCACAAGAAATATCGAAGAGCCCATAATAAATACCAAACAACAAGTTGGCCCACTTTAATGCTGGGCATATGTTGATGTCCTGCGGGCTGATTTGGGCGGGTTACGTCGCCTGCCGGTCGCCTCATTAATTGTTAATTGAAATTTTAATTAAATATTTTGACAATGACGCAAATACCGCAAATGCTGGGCTCCAGTCAAGAAGACAAGAAGCCTCAGCTACAAATATTTAGCAGACAGCTGCTCATTAGCAAAGCTCGGCTGGGTGTGCGGTTGTGCGCTTGGGTGTGTGTGTGGATGTGTGTGTGGGTGTGCTTTTAATGAGTGCTCGACAAATACTTAAGATAGGCATCAAAGGCGACGCCCTCCAAATTTTAAAGAGCAAATGACATTAGCTGATAATGCGCTAAAATTATAAAATAGGCTTAACTTAAGAAATAAAAGCGTTTAGTAAGAGATAACTGGAGAACTAATGACAAGGCAAAACTTGAAAGAGCTTTTAGTGTTAATTTCTTCAACTTAATGCACTTAAGCGTACTTTAAGCTTTGAGTATTGCAAAACACGCCAATTGCGATCTATGATTGCAGTATATATGAACTGCTGTACATAACACCGATATTTTGAAACTACGCATGGGCATTTGATAGCTCTAATGATTTATTTAGTTCTGTTTTAGGTCATGCAATAAAGATTAAAAGCTATTTGTTTGATTAAGTGATAATAATTTTCTTTTTAAACCTGTTTTTCCCTATTACACAAAACTAAATGCTGCTTTTATACATTTTATTTTTTTATTCAAATTTAAGCTATTACACAACACTGTCATCACCTGTTTAAACACCTGTAAACATAGAATGGTATTTGTTTGATTAAGTGATGATAACTTTCTTCCTAAACTTTACTTTTCCTTTTTGCAGAACACTTACTTTTGCTGTTCTTCCTCTCCTCTTTTATGAAAAAATCTCACTTTAGGTATTTCACAACACAGTAAAGATACAAGACTACTTGTTTGATTTAGTGGCGATAACTTTCTTCTTAAACTTTATTTATCCTTATTACACAACACTCATTTCTGCTGTCTTTCCTCTTGTAAGAGGCTTACTTTAGCTATTACACAACACTGACATCGCTGATTTTAAGTAGAGATTAAAGGCTCCTCGTTTGATTAAGTGACGAAAAATTTCTATTTAAAATGTACTCTTTCTTGCACAACACTAATTTCTGCTGTTGTTTGCAGGATTAATATGCCAAACATTGTCTCTCCACATTATACAACACTGTTTTGTCACACGCACGCAAACTTCGTTTTTGCCCAGCTTAATTTAAGTGCCATTTTAAGCCCGTGTCATTACACAAAGCACTCAGAGTTGTTGTGGTATGAAATATGTATATAGCTACTTATGTAGATGTGTGCGCTTCTGCTTACCTCCCAGATGAGTCGAAAATCCTGCTGTTCGACGCGCAGCAGCTCGCAGGTTGTCTTCGTCACGACGGTGCTGTCCCGTGGCAGGTCGTGTAGTATTGATTCGCCAAATGTGGCGCCCACGCCAAGATTACACAAAGTGACGGAGCTCTGCAATGAAGAAGATGTGGAAAAAGCAGGTGTTGAAAAAGGGGAGTGAGCAAACGGGTGCTTGTCAGGGGTAGGGGTTGTAGGCTACAAGTTAAAAGCTGCTCAACTTTATTTTGCAGCTGTAGATAAAACATTTTGCGGTAAACACAGCTGACTTAACCCAGCTCTGTTGACATACCAGAGGGTGTCCTGTCCGTATGTCCGTATGTCTGTGCCTGTGTGTGTGCTAATTGCTCAATGTGCCACAATTTGTTTCAATGCTGCAATCTTGTGGCAGATTGTTAGCCAAACATTTGCTTACCAGCTGTAATCGCTTCATTGCGCACAAGTTTTGCCAATAAATTTGCAACGGAAGCTGTCAAGTTCTAAACCGGAAATGTTGTGACAGCCAAAAAAATGCAATTTCATTTGCCAAACCCCCCAGCCCAGCCCTGTCGCACACAAAATACAATAACTAAGCGCCGCCTAACCGCAACATTGAAATGACATTTCATTTTCCAAGGCAGCACATTTTCTGCATAGCTGCGCTTAATGCCCAGTACTAGGCTTGGAGTTAGGGTATGCGCGACTATTTAATGAATTTTCTGTCGAATCAACAGCTTTTTTTTCTTGAACTTATTGGAATATTTTTAAACGCCTTTTAAAATTTGGCTCGGCAGATTATTTCTTTCTTCAAGAAATATTTGAGAACAAATAATAAAATATGTAAACGAATAGTTATTGGATTTTGTTGATAAAATAATATTTATGTATATCACAGAATCCCTTAGAATTGCATTTAAATTAAGTCTGCTTCATTCCATGATTTCACTTTCATTTCAAGTGCGTTTTTAGTCTTGGACCATAGAAGACCTTAATATACCTACATAAAATACAACATATAATACAACACCTTACAAAATTGGCCTGAACTATTTTATTTATATATTTGAGATCAAACAGAAATAAACGAATAAGTTAATGGATTTTGTTGAGATTTATTATTGTTTAAAATTGTGTTTTTATTAACAATAGAATTTGTTTGTGCATTTGTTTGTTGTCTAATCTATATGTGAATAGATATGTAGATGGATTTGGCAACAGAATTAGTTTTTGCATCAGCTTGCTGTTTAATCTATATGCTGATAAATTAGCTTATCTCAAGAGTATTTTAAATTAAAATGTTCGTGAGTCACCAAAAGGAACGGACATTAGCGCACTCCAAAGTACAAGTAGTGTAGAATGTACAAGTAGTTAGAATGCTAGACAGTTAGATAGGAGTATAGTGTATATATAGCTACAAATAGGCTATTCAAAATTCGTTTAATTGTTTAACCTGCTAGAGAGATATATAGGCGTAGAGTTGGAATAATTGTTTAAAGCTGGTCTTATTTTTGTCAATTGTAAAATTCTCAATTATTATTCCGCCCGTTCGTTCACTTCAGATAAAATTAAAGAGAATATTAAACATTTTTTTTTTTTAAAAAGGAAGTTAGTAACAATTATTATAACTTTTTTAGCTAATATTAAAGGCAACAAAGAAAAACAAATTTTTATTATAGCCTGCTTTGTGAATTTTGAAACATTTGATTAATTTGCAGAGTAACATGTTGTCAAGCAAGGCTCATTAGTGAATTTTTGTGTGGATTGTTGCTAAGTTTGCATCTGCGGTCTGTGCTGTTTGTTCTCGCTGTTTGTTGCTGTTTGTTCTTGCTTTCCCAGAAGACAACTTCTTGGCATCGCTCGAGGGCCCAGCCTCATTTCAGTGGGCTTAACTTGGCCCCTCTCTCTCTCTCTCTCTTAGCCAACTGCTTGAAGCTGGGTACTGGGCGCTGGGTTTGAGGCAGCGCATGTAATTGGCTTAACAAGACTTACACACGACCGCAAAATTGTTAAACTCGCATTAGTCGGAGGCGTGTGTATTAGTGTGTGTGTGCGTGTGTGTGTGTGTGTGTGTGTGTGTGTGTGTGTTGGGTGTGTGTGTGTGTGTTGTGCTTGAGTTTTCTTTTACAGTTATTACACATGCAATGGGTTTTGGTCGTGGTAGATGCCGCAACAGCAACAAATACTTAAGATCCGCTATAAAACATAATTTAATTATTTATGCGCTATGTAATTACAATTGTTGTTACTGTAATTGTTGTTGTTTTTTACTGTTGTTGTTGTTGGTCAAGTGCTGACTTGAATTTCACGCGTCCCATTTGAAAATTTCATTTACTCGACTTGATTTATGGCGACTTTTGTTTTTGACATTCCAAAAGTATTTTTCGCTGCTTCTTCTCCTTTTTTTTTTAGCTCTTGGCCTGCTTTGTCGGCGTGAAACGCCATAAATTTTGATTGCTTTCTAATTGTTGTTGGCCAACAGTTTTTGGCCCAAAGAGATTTTTCGCCAAATATTTAGATAAAGTCTGGGAATCGTTTATAGAATCGAGCCACACGCTGCGAACCGCAACATAAACATCGTAAAATTCGCATATTACTGGGAAATCAATTTAATTGATATTTTAAATGCAGAAAAAAGAGAAAAGCACAAAAAGCAGCCAAATGAATATTTGTTTATCCGAGTGAAAGAAATTGGATTTTATTGAAATACATAGAATAGCCGGTAACTGTGTTGATGAGCTTAATAATAATTATTTTAATGGTTTATAATTTTTAATGACTGTGCTTGCGGTATTAACTTTGAGCTGTTTATTTTGCCTAAAATTTTTCAGTTTATTTTTACTTTGGTTTTAGTTTTTTATAATGCACATTCTATTTTATTTCCGCTTCTGTTTTGTGTTATGTTAGTTTTTTTAAAAGCTTGTACTTAGTATATTAATAAAAGATATCATACTAAAGGTTTCCACAGAAAGTGGGGTGTATATATATTGCTGATCAGCATCTAAAGCTTATCTAGCTAATCTTAATGACTATATGGATCTGGATATAAAGAAGCTAAGATATTATTATATGGTAAGGTATCTGCTAGTTGAACATTCTTGTTTCAATACAATTTCTATCATTAGCAATTCATTTTCCTAATGGGAGATAAAAGCTTTAAATTTGAAATGTAAATTTTTCACTATTTTTTACATTAGTATTATAACTTTATTGTGTTAATCTAAATATTTGTAAAAATATCTCAGACGGGGTATCTGCTAGTTGAGCATTCTGTCTTCTTTTACTACAGCTCCTATCATTGGCAATTCGTTTCCCCGTTTTGTTTCTTTTATCACAATTTCCCGCCGCCGCACAGCTCCTGAGCTTTTCGCTTGCATTGGCTAAATCCCATTGATAGTTGGGAATGGCTTATTGAGCCAAGCCGGTTCGTTTTCAATCGCTGTTTGGTGTTCTTTGTTATGTTGAAGCTTAGACCATTGGCCATTGTGTGCATTTTAATTGGAATCTAATGGAAAGAAAGTGCTCATCATAAGCTACAAGGCCTATAAAGGCTTTGTGGGATACATAACATTTTGCAACATTTCAGTATGCGGTAGAGAAAAATGTTTATTATCTACCTTTCTCTTATGCCTATATATATTTTTTTTCTTTTTAATAATTTTGCATAAAGTAGAGAAATACAATTGCCTTTTCTATGTGTAATCTTTTCCACAAGCCAAATTTAACGATATATGTATTTACTGAGGTTAGCTTAAGCTTAAGGCTTTTAAGTTTTATATCCAACTCCATAATTAAGCTAAGATTTAACTTAGTTAAATTAACAAAAGACATAATAAGTTGGAAAGGGCAACCATGGATAAAATTCCTAATATTTTCTGGACTAATCCTTAATGGGGAGACTGTAGGTTATCAGAAAGAGTTAACCAAGTTCTATTAACCCTATTTATATTTCACCTTAAACTTATTTTTTCCTTAAGCCATAAACTTCCTTAGTTAGGAGAGGCAAAAATTGAAATAAGAGCTGCTCCCTTTCTCTTTCTTTTATATCCGAAATAAAAGAATGGTTCCTTTGATTAAGCTAGCTAAAAAAGTCTTGCAAATGGCAGCCTTTACACACAGATAAATACTTTCTCCTGCAAGAACTTCGTGACACATAAAATCCACCTTTAAATGGATAAAAAATAATGTCACAGTCCATTGCAAAGTTGAACCACTGAGAACATGCCGCAATCAGACAAGGCTATCAAAGAAATATATATACTTAGTTGTATCTCAATGTGTTCCATATGTTAACGATAGCACACGTCACACACACGCACACACACACTCACACACAGACAGAGTCACACTCCCTTCATAACTCGCATATTTATATCTGACTTAAGTGTGGGCACGTACTTTTTACATACTTTTCATACTCGTAAATGCAATGCAATGTTTTACCTTTGCATAATGTCGCGTTGATTGCTCCACATTATACGTACAACTGCGACGAAATAACATTTTTTACACGGCGGCTTTCTATTATTTGTTATGCTTCTTTTATGTGCTATATGCTTGTATTTGTGTGTAGATTTTATTTTTACTTTTTATTATTTTAGTTTAGCAACAAATTTTTTATTTGCGTGCTTTTTTTTCTGTGTCAAATGCTGTAATAAATTTTTGAAATTCGTAAAAAAATAATAGCATGCAAATGTTTTTGTTGTGTGCGAGTGTGCTGTGTGTGTGCGTGTATTTTTGAATGAAATTCGCAAAACGTGTGCCACCGTTTATGGGCCGCAAACTATATAATATGAATTTTGGCTAGTGGTTCTTTTTTCGGCTCGCTGATAAATGAGTTGCAAGCGTGCCCAGCGCCACAAAAAATATGTTCGTGGCTAACGACAACAACAACAACAATAATAGCAGCTATTGGCAACAACATTTGCATGCCACACATTTTGCACATGTAACTTTTCTGTGTATGATATATATTATTATTAAATCTTTTTGGCTTTTTTAGCGCGTACCACTTTCGATTTATGGCCATAATTGAATTGGCAGCTAGGCACGAAGTCTTAAATAAAACAACAACAACAACAGAATTGAACAGCAACACGCGCTGCGAGATGTGCTTGGCAAGTTGTGCAACCGCGCGGTGTCGCGTCGTAAACTGAACTGAAGTTGGGAATTGGTGCCGTCACACGGCAGACTTTAAATTAGCAGCACGACATAACAACAGCGGCGCCCAGGTGTGTGTGTATGTGTGTGTGAGTGTCTTTGTGTGGCTCTCTTTATGCAACGCTGCTGACAGTTGCTGAAGTGTGGCAGCAACAAAGGCAGCCACCACTTGCTATGGCGTGTCGCAAATTGGAGCAGCCACAGTCGCAGCCTCAATCAGGCATGCAAAATACGCGTATCTCATATCATGAATGCTTACTGGCAGAAAAAAAGAAAAATTCAACTTGCAAACAAAGTTGTCAACAAAATTTCAGCTCTGTTTGCTTTTGCTGGCCAGTTGTGCTTGTTTTGCTGCTGCTGCTGCTGCCTCAGTTGTGCAGCTTTCACTGGCTTCTGCTGTGGCAGGTAGCAATATCAAAGCAAATGCAATTAATCCATTGACATACGCGTTCGTATCGCATGTGCCCCAAAGCCCAGCTAACCGGCCAAATGCTCAGCTGCTGCTGCGCTTGAAGAACCCCACGCACATAAATGCAACATTTCCGTCTCCGGCAGCAACTGTTGCTGCTGCAATTGTTATTTCTGTTGTTGTCGTTGTAATGTACTTCCAACTAATATTGCGGCTGCCCTGTGGCCTCTGCCTTGGGCAATCGCAATGGTCTCGATTGTTGTTACTTGATGCGTGGGCCTTAATGCAAAATCGAATATGAGATGTGCTTGAGGATAAGCTGCGTACACTGTGAAAATATCAATTGAAGAAGCTGGCTTACCTTCAGGAAGCTTTATTTTATATCCAATCGACTTAGTTTCGCGTTTCAAATTTACAATCATTTTCGCAGTCTCTTTGAATTCGTTCTAAGTTCTTTTCTTTTGGTTATTTCCTTTACCTTTCTGGTTTACCGCACAAAATGTTTATTCTTCTTCTGTACTTTTTGTATTTCGTATTTTGTGTGCCCTGCTGAGACTGTTTTATAATTATATTAAAATGTGCCTTTAAATAATTAAATTCCTTAAAATGAAAGTATATTTAGTATTTCTTGTATGCCGTAGTTATTGATTAATGCTGCTTTTAGCGACCTTTTCATTTGGCTCAAGGTCCGGGTTTTCATTTATTAAAATCCAAAATGTTAAACAGAAAACAATTTCATTTTAAAATATTTCTTCTCCGATATATTTCGGCTGCACCTCGGCAACCGTTTGCGGGGCAATTATTTTGCACGTCTGCCCCCTTTGACTTTTTTATATAATTCATTTAACATTTTTTCATCGACTTTTTCATTGTTATTTTATAGGAAGACAATATAAGTTAACTTATTTATTCCACCCAAAATGTGTATTTAAAAAAGATTCAATTTCATTTTGCTATTTAAGTATATATTTAAGCATATTTTATGCATTAACTAATTTTCTTAGAAATATTTGTATCGAATAATTTTTGCAATTTTTTGTTTATGTTATACATATTTCAAGCCTGATTCCTGCTGTCATTGCCCTCTTACAATTTAATAGTTTTTAATAGGTTTGACATTAAATTATTAGTATCTTCCGCCAAATATTTAACAATGAAACGTATGATTTTCTCACAGTGTGTTAATCAATGTGCACTGCAGCCGTTGACGCTCTCGGTAATGAAATCATTTGCTGCAACTGTGTAAATCCTAGAGTCAAAGTCTTCCTTTAATTAAGCAACTGTTTTTGGCATTCGACTTATTACAGTTGGCCTTTGCGAAGGTGTTGTCAATGTTAAGGTTGAACAACCTGCCCTTCTCACAGCTGCTCTTATTTGATTTATTTCTCATTTCGTTTTTCACTCTTCAAGCGGCAAGTGCTTTATGAGTTCAACAAAAAACAAAACAAAACAAAATCCAACAACAATCCATGCTTGAGACTAGTAATTAATTTGATTTTAGCCAGTTTCAGTGAAGGTGGAGCACAAAAAGAGGCTTTGCCAAAACAAGTCAATGACTGCTCACAATGAGTAAGCAGAGGCTAAAGCATTTTATGAGCCGAATTGCGTGTATCCGTAAGATACTCGCAATTCGCAGTCCATTCAAATTATCTGCATAAGCAACGCGAAATAATTTTACATTGAATTTTGTTGCACATGAATGGAATGTGGATATGTTTGCGTTTTATTCAGCCTATTAAATGCAGCGTTATTTAATAATTTGTTAATTTTTTTGTTTTTATTTTTTGCTTTTCCGGTTGTGTATTTCTCTCCTTTTAATTGTGGTTAATGTTTTGTGGCTTGTATCTATATTTTACACTATTATAAATTGAATATAACAAATTACAGTTCTTTTTATGAACCATGAAATAAAAGATTCCTTACATAAAGCTTGACTAAATTAGTATCTACAAGTTACAGCAGATTAATGAACTAATTTCCAGTTCCCTTCTAATGTTGAATTTTGGTCTGAATTCTGATGTTTTATCAATATTGTATATTAGAAATTAATAAAAAGAACTTTATCGGGTCTGCTTCTTTGTGTTACACATTTCATGACAAAATTTTAATACCCTCTTAAAATACTGAAATAGATATGATATTACTTATATCAGCAAAGTTAAGTTAAGTTAACTTTTTTCAGATCGAAAAATATGAAAAAAATAATCTATTGCCTTAAAAGTAAATAAATATATAATGAAACCTATATTTTTTTTTATTAAAATTAATTTTTAACGCGATCATTAAATGATTAAAGTGTATAATTTTAATTTGAGCACCGCAAAACGTGTGAAACTATTTTTAATGACATTTTCTGTTGCCCCGTTAGAAAATGGCACATTTAATAGAATTTTTCCACGCCTTTAGATAGAGAAAAAGTTTTATGCAGTTTTCAGTTCTTTACACAGCCTCATTTTCCACGAGTTGCATGTTGTGATGACATTAGATAAAAAAAAAACTTTTTATCTTGTCATGCATAATTAAAATACAATTTTAATGTGTGTTACAAGAATTTTATATAGTATGATTAATCTTACGCATACGCGACCTACATATAAAAAAGATTTTCATTAAGCTTCGTGCAAAGTGTTTGCCTTTAAGCTGTGAAAAAGTTCGCAGCCAAAGAAAATTTGTGCTACCTTCCCAAGAACTATTTACATAACCCACAAAAGCAAGTGCCCGACCTCAACTATGTAAATGCTGATGTATGTGTTTTGGGGAGGATATTGATTGTAAGGAACTCGCCTGGTGCCTGGAATTTAATGCGATGAAAACTATGCACATGTGGGAGTATTCCGGGCAGAGCAAGACCTCGTATAAAATAGTTTGGCAGCTTTCCTTTAAATCATTCAGTGCCAATTCGAATGTAAATAACCAAAATAGTTGAAGCGTAAAACGCTGAACAGATAAACCGTCAAACGAAAAGAAATTTTATCTCTTTGGAAAAGTTTTTGCTCAACCAGCAAAATAAAAAAAAATAATGGAATAAAAAACTGATTGAAAAGAAAAGAAATTTGTATACAGATTAAGTAAGCGAGACAGTGTTTAAAATAATAAAAGTTTTTTACTCTACTTTGCTATTTGTTGCTGTTCAAAAAGTAAGTTCTATGCAATCCCGGATTTTAGTAGAGCTGAGTTCTTTAAACTTTACACAGCCTTATCTTCTTACTGTAGCTGGCATATCAATCAGTACAAGTCGAATATGCCTATTGTATTTTGTAGCTGAATACCGAATACCGAGAATTTTGTGTGATAAGCTTGCAGTTCAGATTAAAAAGCTTATCAAGATTTTAGACTCAAAGCTTTATATTAAAGAGAATTTTCTATTTTCCGTCCGTGAAATTAAATAAATGCTTGGTAATTTTTTAACGGTGCTGATATTCGGTATCAACAATGTAAGCATATGATAAACATTTGATAATGACTGGAATAATAAGTGTACTCTAGTCGGGATGCGCCACTTTGGGATACCCTGTGCATTGTTTAACCAACACAAAATGCAGTTTGTCCTAGGGAAGGGAGTGGGTAGCTATTGAATGAAATATATTAAATCTGTATATACTATTCTGGAAGCTACATTGAACCCTAAGAGATTTGCTTAAAATCAGTATTTCGATAACTATTTTTATCGATTGTTGTTATCGAATATCGGAAAAAATTTGTACTGCGCGGTCCCTAGGAGTGCCTACGTTCAAAATTTCATTCTCCAGTTGTTATAGGTTCTGATACCCTAGTGTTCATACATGCGGACGGACGGACAGACGGACCTGGCTGGATCGACTCGGCTTTTGATGCTTATCAAGAATATATATACTTTAAAGAGTTGAAAAAGATTCCTTCTGCCAGTTACATACATTTTCACAAAAACATTATACCCTTGTACCCATTTCAATAGGTTCGGCGTATTAAAACTATTATGAAACAATTTGCTATCAGGTCTCAGATTTGGCAAGTGGTAAAAAGATTATAAATACAATGAAAAAAGTTATTTCTAGCTAGTTCATTTATTATATATCTTTTTATTAATTTAACGCTGCACAGAGGGTATTCACTGGTCCCGAGCCAGGAGAACCTCTTAGTGCTTCATTACTCCATTTAATTATATGTTTGTTAATAACATACCCATTCAAAAAAGTACATACAAAGGCAAACATGTTTGCTAATCTATGTTTTCAATTCAAGCATTTGAAAACACAGCACAGAGCTTAGCTAGTTTACATATTTCCAGCTAAACTCGCTCAACACGCAGGTAAATGCCGCCGATTGTGCCCAGAACAAACGATTTGGGATCATAGATGAGCGGTATATCAGTTTTGTCACACACCGAAAACTTAAAGTTCCTTATTAGCTGGGCCAGGCCAACACGTGTTTGCATTTGGCCAAAACGCATTCCCACACAATTTCTGGGACCATCGCCGAATGGCAGCCACTCAACCGAGTCACGAGCTGCCACTTGCTCGGCAGAGAAACGGTCCGGATCGAATTTCTCGGGATCCGGATAAAAGTCTTCATCCCGATGATAGGCAGCTGCAGGCAGTATGACCTGTGTGCCCTTTTCTATGACGTATTTTGGATGTCCAGCAACAACATAATCATTTAGAGCCTTGCGTTCGAGAAAAGGCACAATAGTATATAGGCGGAGGGTTTCTGTTGAAGCAAGTGCAGAGGGTAGTTAAACTTGCTTTCAACATTTGAGTTGTCTTTCAGCTCACCTGAAATAACCTGATCCAAGTATCGCATGGCTAAAATACTTTCATAGGTCAGTTTACCATCATATTGCTGCAGAATATTTTGAATGTCTTCCCTTAACCTGCCCTGAATATCGATATGCTGGGCCAGCTCATATAGACAATAGCTCATGGTTGATGAAGAGGTCTCGAAGCCGGCCATATAGAAGACAAAGACTTGGGCAGCAAGCTCACCAACATCCAATCCTGCGACTACTTCGCCGTTGTCCATTGTAAAGCTACCCTTCTGCTTCAGCTCGATGAGCATCTCCATAAAGTCGTTCCGCTTGATATTTTCCTTCTCTCTGTACGCTATTGTTTCCTGAACCAGTCCCATAAAGAACTCATGAACATCATCAGGTATCATGCGCATTCGCAGTTTGCGTGCCAAATTGGGAAAACTGAAGTGGAAGGCCGTCAGCAACGGACCGTGTCGCAACTCGACGAGGGCTTTACGTGCCATTTTACGGAAGTCGGTTTCGGGAGTGCGCAGGGTATTGCACTCAATTCCAAAGGCACATGTGCCTATGACATCGGTTGTAAACCGAGCCATCAGATCTTTGATTTCAATGACAGCACCTCCAGATTCGGCTGGGACTTCTTCCAGCATAACCTCAACGAATTCCTCGGACACTTTGATGACAGTTGGGAACATGAACTTCATCTTGCCAGAAGTAAAAGTGGGCGAAAGCTTCTGTCGCATCTCCCTCCAACGTTTGCCATCCAAATTGAAGAGATGTCCAGTGAGTGGGTCGTCGCGTTCATTGTGGAACTGTCCACGATCGGCAAAGTTTGTGAAATCCTTAATCAAAACATTCTTTGCCAATTTGATATCCATAATGAATGCACTGCGCCTTTGCAGAAAGTTGAAGCCCACAAACGGGTGACCCGTCTTTCGGAATTTGTTGTAATATTCCTCCACAATATCGTGAAGCACACGATTCTTTCTGAAACCAGTCAGATTTCCATAGAGCGGATGCGGTGCATCTTGGGGTATTCCGCGGATCTTCCAATAGTTCATGTTGTGGTGCAAAAAATATGCAACCAAAGCTGATAAACCGATCAGCAAATATACAAGAAACAACAACATTTTGTGTTCAGCTCTCAATGGCTTCTGGTCAAACACTGAGCGCAGTCGAGCCAACCCGCCTGTATTTTATTCTCTCTGGTTTAATGTGACTACGATATCTGTTTGTGAATATATTAATCCGCAAAAGCTTAGTGTGGGAGATAGTAGGGCATCTGTCTGTGAAATTCATTTCCTTCTTTCCATTTCTTCCAGATGCTTGTTATCAAAGAGTCGCATATCATTTCAAGCTTAAATCTTCTTAATGTTAACTTTGCAAATTTTTGTTTTGAGTTTTGCTGACGAATTTAGCTAAAGAGAGAAAACCGGAATGGAGAGCCGATTTTTTTGGCGCTCAAAACTGCGAATTTTTGTCTACGTTTTGATGAAACACAGATTACCTCTTAATTCCACTCGATAAAAAAAGCTGCAGAAAACTATTTTTGATTTTTCAAGATTTTCCCAAATATTAGCAAAAAATTTTTTATTTATAAATTTATTAAATAATTTCAAACTATTAAAAAACGAAACTTTTGCAAATCAACAAAATGTAATTGTCAGAATGAGACTTAAAATGCATGTTGCCTGTTGCATGTTCCATGCAAACGTATAAATACATATACCCTTGTTAAGCATTTTTATAGGGTATATATACATATAAACAACGAGTTTTTTAAAAGTCGAGTTACCCATTATAATGTAGCTCAATAAAAAAAGTAGATCAACGCGTACTCTGCTTAGTTTTAGCAAATACTTCAGGGTTTAATTTTTTTTCTATATTTTGATACTTCATAAATAATAACCGCTAAATATTATGGTAAATGAAAATCAAATCAAGTTTTACGGGTAAGCTTGATTCTTTATATACGTGTATGTACATATAAAGGCAAACAGGTGCTTTTTATACAAATGAGTGTATGTAATTATACAAACTCCAACAACTATGACAGCATCGTTACAACTCATATAAAAACAACATCGCTGACAGTTTTTTTTTTAATTCTTAACACGCTCCACACGCAGATATATGCCGCCGATTGTGCCCAGAACAAACGATTTGGGATCATAGATGAGCGGAATATCAGTTTTGTCACACACCGAAAACTTGAAGTTCGTTATCAGCTGGGCCAGGCCAATACGTGTTTGCATTTGGCCAAAACGCATGCCCACACAATTTCTGGGACCATCGCCGAATGGCAGCCACTCAACCGAGTCACGAGCTGCCACTTGCTCGGCAGAGAAACGGTCCGGATCGAATTTCTCGGGATCCGGATACAAATCTTCGTCCCTATGGTAGGCAGCAGCTGGTATTATAACCTGAGTGCCCTTCTCTATGACGTATTTTGGATGCCCAGGAACAACATAATCATTCTGGGCCTTGCGTTCGAGGAAAGGCACAATAGTGTATAGGCGAAGAGTTTCTGTTTAGGTAAAAGTTCAAGATAGTTAATAAACCCATGAACTCTAGTTTATTTGAGCTCACCTGAAATAACTTGATCCAAGTATCGCATAGCTTTAATGCTTTCGTAGGTCAGTTTTCCATCATGTTGTTGCAGAACATCCTTAATATCTTCTCTTAATTTATCCTGAATATCGGTATGCTGGGCCAGCTCATATAGACCATAGGTCATGGTTGATGAGGAGGTCTCAAAGCCCGCCAAATAGAAGACAAAGACTTGGGCAGCCAGCTCACCAACGTCCAATCCTGTGACTACTTCGCCGTTGTCCATTGTAAAGCTGCCCTTCTGCTTCAGCTCGATGAGCATCTCCATAAAGTCGTTCCGCTTGATTTTTTCCTTCTCTCTGTACGCTATTGTTTCCTGAACCAATCCCATAAAGAACTGGTGAACATCTTCGGGAATCATCCGCATACGGAGTTTTCGGGCGACATTGGGAAAACTGAAGCTAAATGCGGTTAGGAAAATTCCATGTCGCATCTCAGTGAAGGACTTTTGTCCCATTTTTCGGAAGTCAGATATGGGTGTGCGCAGGGTGTTGCACTCAATACCAAAGGCACATGTGCCTATGACATCGGTAGTAAACCGAGCCATCAGATCCTTAATTTCGATGATATCGCCTCCAGACTTAGCTGGGACTTCCTCCTGCATAACCTTAACGAATTCCTCGGACACTTTGATAACAGACGGGAACATGAACTTCATCTTGCCAGAAGTAAAAGTGGGCGAAAGCTTCTGTCGCATCTCTCTCCAACGTTTGCCATCCAAATTGAAGAGATGCCCAGTGAGTGGGTCGTCGCGTTCATTGTGGAACTGTCCACGATCGGCAAAGTTCGTGAAATCCTTAATCAAAATATTCTTTGCCAATTTGATATCCATTATGAATGCGCTCTGCCTTTGAATAAAGCTAAAACCCACAAACGGGTGACCCGTCTTTCGGAATTTGTTGTAGTATTCGTTCAAAGCATTATGTATTATGCGATTCTTTCTGAATCCGACCAAATTTCCATAAATCGGATGCGGGGGCTCTTGAGCTATTCCCCGGCTCTTCCAGTAGTTCATGTTGCGGTGCAGCAGATACACCACCAAAGCTGATATCGCAATTACCAAATATATAAGAAATAACATTTTGTGATTTGTTTCTTGCGACTCTTCGAAAGATACTGAGCTCCGTTAGGACAACCGCTGGCTATTTTATTCAGAAATTGTGTTTGGTTGACTGCGCATTATTAGTTAGTTAATGTATATATCAGCATGACTAAGCAATTTTTTGGCTGTTCATGTTTACACTGAACATTTTGGAAGAGCGCTTTGCCGTGTAAAGGAGCTTGATAAGTGTTATCTGAGAGCCGGCCGTAGACTTATGTTGAGAGTCATACTGACTGGAGAGGCAACGCGGTGTCGCGAATGCTCGCGATTGTCGTATTTATCAGGGGAACCGGTTTTGCCTATGGTTGTGTTTGACAATAAAAAACTAGAGGAGGCACTCGGCAGGTTGCTCCATTAAAATTCGTCTCATGCTAGCCTGTGGCATGCTAAGCGACGCCTTCACATTGTCATCCAGATGGATTCGCGAAGTTCATAACAATCTAAAAACTAAACCGATTTTGAAACGGAATAGCACTTGGGTAATAGTTAACCTTGGCTATTATAAAGCCTCTCAACACTTAAGTTAGGTAATCATAATTCAAAAGTACACTAACAATTAAATCTGGTAAATATTTAATCCTCTGTTAAAATTTCTTAAAATTTGCCTTATCAATAATCCTTTTAGTATATAAAAAGTTAGTTAAGTTTCTTTGTGAAGGTGTATTTAAGTATAATTTAAGTATAATTTGTTGAATTATCAAACATATTTATTTATAAGTAAGTTTATAATTGAAATAAATCTGGTTCTAATTGGAACAGATCGAATAGCTTTTCTTGCTTTAAGCCATTTATAATGTAACCATGCTCTTAGAGCGTAAATCTTGAGATAAATGTTATTATTTGATGACAGCTAAGTGTTTATAAGTTCTCTTTTGTTCAGTTCTGCGTCTGAAGTACTTACTCGAGTTCACTTTCAAAGTAAACGCAATTATTGGCACTATACGACGCTTTAAGCTGCTCTTGCAGGACATTTCTCTCTCTCTCTCTCTCTCTCTCTCTCTGTGTGTGTATGTGTGTGTTTGTGTGTGTCCTTTTGCTGTCCGTTATGGCCTGTCCTTGCGGCCCTCAACTGACAGCAACAGGCGCGCACGGCGTGTGCGGCTTAAACACAGCAATCGCACTACCAACAAATATTTTCCCGTTGACGTTTATTTAATTATGTGTGCTGCATTTTATTTTGTGCAGCTTTTCAAAGGGATTTTCATTGGAGGTACGTGTGAAATGTGCTCAATTATAAATGCCATTTAAGAGGTGTTTCAATTTAACAGCTGACCCTGCCTGTCCAGCTCGGGCTTACGTTGTTCATTCAGATGGTTTGTCAAGCGTTTTGTAACAATCTTTAAGCTGACCTTCAGCTGTCAGCCAGACGCCCCACTTCTGAGCCATTTCCACTGACAAATCATGTGAATTTGCAGCAAAGCCCAACAAAGGGAATACAAAACGCAACTCAGCCAAGCACAAGAAGGCGACGGACGCGCCTCGTCTTAGCCATAGCCATAATGAATGCATGGGCTGAAACAAAAAGAATGCATTCTTTATGAAGCAGGCGAGCCGTCGGGGGCCCAGCTCGACTGCACTTATGCGCTAAATAAAAATGCAAATCTAAATGTAACATAAGAGCTGCACTATACGAGTGTATAAATGCGTGCAAAAACCAGGCGGTCACAAAAGAAAACCTCTAGAAATGCATATAAAGTAAAATAAAATTCTCAAGTGGAGAGTGCTCGACTGGAAGCTACCCTGTTGCTCAGTCTTAAGAAAAGTTTGATTACTATAAATAAGATTTGTTGAGATACTCTGTTCCAGATCTTTAATTTGTTTATTGTTGAACAGAAATGTAAATAGTTTCGCTGTCTTTTCCTTAGTCTAAACTGTTGTGATTATACTGCGATCGTTCTTTTTTTTTTAAGGTTCATAGATTCAATCCACCTAAAACTATGGGAAGATAGGCCGATAGGCAGATAGGATTCCCACCCCCATAACTAGGTCAAATCTCATCCGATTTCCACGAGGTTAGGCTATTTGTTCGTGGTTTTCCCTTTTAATTAATCCTCCATTCAAATCTGAAAACATATTTTGTAGTCGAAATTCATGGAAAAATCTTACCCCAAGATTCGTATATAGACATGGGTCAAAATTTCCCACTCCCATAACTCGGTCAAATCTCATCAGATTTTCACGAGGTTTGGCCTTTTGTTCATGGATTTCCCTCTAGATTAACCCTGCATTCAAATCTCAATACATATTTTTGAGTCGAAATTCATGTCAAAATCTTACCCCAAGATTCGTATATAGACATGGGTCAAAATTTCCCACTCCCATAACTCGGTCAAATCTCATCAGATTTTCACGAGGTTTGGCCTTTTGTTCATGGATTTCCCTCTAGATTAACCCTGCATTCAAATCTCAATACATATTTTTGAGTCGAAATTCATGTCAAAATCTTATCCAAGATTCGTATATAGACATGGGTCAAAATTTCCACCACCATAACTGGGTCAAATCTCATCAGAATTCACGAGGATTGGCTTTACGAATATAAATGAATACACACGCACGCACACACACTTGTTGTTCAAATTGGATGGCGTTAGCTTCGTCAATAACAATATGAAAAAAAAACATATAAAACGAGTATAAAATATAAAAATTTGTTGTGCGTGTGCGTTTGCGTTTACGTTTCGTGGTAAGTATTTTGTCAATTGCATGCGCCAGCTAGTCAGCCAGTCATCCAGTCAGGCAGGCAAATTGAAGTTGCCTTCCTTCCGGTTGCCTTCGCTGATACGCCCAATCATTGAGCAAATCATAATCAGCCTGTGTGCTTCGAAGCCAAAGGACATTTCGTTTGAAAGCACATTAAATCTGAAAGCTTATCGGGCTGTATTTATTGATCATTTATGCCGAAGGCGTAGAGGTTCTTATATAAAACTTGCTTCACACCCAACTAGCTATATTTAATATGCATTTATTTTAACACTATTCGAGTCTAGGATATAAATAAGGGCCAGCTTAAACGGAGAGCTTTGAAAGCTTTGCAATATAGCTCGATTTAGCCGGAAAGCTCATCAAGAAAGCCCCTGCACTCGAACAAACTTCTGAAAGCGCATTAAAGCTTAAACACAAAAAATATGCAATTCAGCTTATTTCAAGCTTTAAACTTCGTTTAAACTAATTGTTTCTAGTTTAAGCAGTTTATCAGCTTTAATTTTAGCTTTATGTAATTAAAATTAGCATCCATTTTACTTAAGCTTTACAATAGAGCTTTAATATTAATAAATAAGTAAATTGTTTAAAGCAATATGCAATCAGCTTCTCTTTAAGATTAAAGCTGCATACTTAAGTTTATTTCTCTCATGTTGCCGCTTAATTAACCAAAACCAAATCGACTTAGCTTGTGTTTAGGTCGCAGTTTCAGGCACTGTCGTTGGGGCATTGGACATCTGTCTAATTTTAAATTCACAACTTTCGACATTTTTGGCAATTTCAAACAGTATCTATTTTTGGGCACTGCGCGACAGAGCAAATAATTAGCTGCCAAACAATCTTTTTTTTTTTGTTGCTTTTACAGCCGAAGGATACGCTGTCAGATTTGTGGCTGAAAATTGTCAGGATATGTAATGAAGGGCGGCAACAGATGTGACATTCGTTCAACTTGTTGCCTGACAAGTTCATCGCTCGAAATGCTGATTGATTTTCGCCCTCACGACATATGCGTTCACGCTGATTGTTTGACATGGAGACAACCACGCGAATTGCAGAAGACGTCTGACATTTACAGAGGGGGCCAGGAAGCCAATGCGGCGGCTACTTGATATTGATTTGATGCTGATTCAATTTGAAAAAATGCAACTACTGTGTCATATATATTATTTATGAACTATTTTGTTCTTTACATGAATCATAAACTGATTGACAAATTCATTGAGCATTAGTCTCAAACTTGGCCAAAGTGATAAATGACCAATGACGCGATCAACGCGTACTCTGCTTAGTTTTAGCACATACTTCAGGGTTTAATTGGGTTTCTATATTTTGATACTTCATAAATAATAACCGCTAAATATTATGGTAAATGAAAATCAAATCAAGTTTTACGGGTAAGCTTGATTCTTTATATACGTGTATGTACATATAAAGGCAAACAGGTGCTTTTTATACAAATGAGTGTATGTAATTATACAAACTCCAACAACTATGACAGCATCGTTACAACTCATATAAAAACAACATCGCTGACAGTTTTTTTTTTAATTCTTAACACGCTCCACACGCAGATATATGCCGCCGATTGTGCCCAGAACAAACGATTTGGGATCATAGATGAGCGGAATATCAGTTTTGTCACACACCGAAAACTTGAAGTTCGTTATCAGCTGGGCCAGGCCAATACGTGTTTGCATTTGGCCAAAACGCATGCCCACACAATTTCTGGGACCATCGCCGAATGGCAGCCACTCAACCGAGTCACGAGCTGCCACTTGCTCGGCAGAGAAACGGTCCGGATCGAATTTCTCGGGATCCGGATACAAATCTTCGTCCCTATGGTAGGCAGCAGCTGGTATTATAACCTGAGTGCCCTTCTCTATGACGTATTTTGGATGCCCAGGAACAACATAATCATTCTGGGCCTTGCGTTCGAGGAAAGGTATAATAGTGTACAGACGAAGAGTTTCTGTTGAGGTAAAAGTTCAAGATAGTTAAAAACCCCATGAACACAGGTTTTTTTTTCGAGCTCACCTGAAATAACTTGATCCAAGTATCGCATAGCTTTAATGCTTTCGTAGGTCAGTTTTCCATCATGTTGTTGCAGAACATCCTTAATATCTTCTCTTAATTTATCCTGAATATCGGTATGCTGGGCCAGCTCATATAGACCATAGGTCATGGTTGATGAGGAGGTCTCAAAGCCCGCCAAATAGAAGACAAAGACTTGGGCAGCCAGCTCACCAACGTCCAATCCTGTGACTACTTCGCCGTTGTCCATTGTAAAGCTGCCCTTCTGCTTCAGCTCGATGAGCATCTCCATAAAGTCGTTCCGCTTGATTTTTTCCTTCTCTCTGTACGCTATTGTTTCCTGAACCAATCCCATAAAGAACTGGTGAACATCTTCGGGAATCAAGCGCATACGGAGTTTTCGGGCGACATTGGGAAAACTGAACTGAAATGCGGTTAGGAAAGCTCCATGTCGCAACTGAGTGAAGGACTTTTGTCCCATTTTTCGGAAGTCAGATATGGGTGTGCGCAGGGTGTTGCACTCAATACCAAAGGCACATGTGCCTATGACATCGGTAGTAAACCGAGCCATCAGATCCTTAATTTCGATGATATCGCCTCCAGACTTAGCTGGGACTTCCTCCTGCATAACCTTAACGAATTCCTCGGACACTTTGATAACAGACGGGAACATGAACTTCATCTTGCCAGAAGTAAAAGTGGGCGAAAGCTTCTGTCGCATCTCTCTCCAACGTTTGCCATCCAAATTGAAGAGATGCCCAGTGAGTGGGTCGTCGCGTTCATTGTGGAACTGTCCACGATCGGCAAAGTTCGTGAAATCCTTAATCAAAACATTCTTTGCCAATTTGATATCCATTATGAATGCGCTCTGCTTTTGAACAAAGGTAAAACCCACAAACGGGTGACCCGTCTTTCGGAATTTGTTGTAGTATTCGTTCAATGCATTATGTAATACGCTAGTCTTTCTGAATCCGACCAAATTTCCATAGATCGGATGCGGGGGATCTTGAGGTATTCCCCGGCTCTTCCAGTAGTTCATGTTGCGGTGCAGCAGATACACCACCAAAGCTGATATCGCGATTACCAAATATATAAGAAATAACATTTTGTGATTTGGTTCTAGCGACTCTTCGAAAGACACTGAGCTCCGTTAGGACAACCGCTGGCTATTTTATTCAGAAATTGTGTTTGGTTGACTGCGCATTATTAGTTAGTTAATGTATATATCAGCATGACTAAGCAATTTTTTGGCTGTTCATGTTTACACTGAACATTTTGGAAGAGCGCTTTGCCGTGTAAAGGAGCTTGATAAGTGTTATCTGAGAGCCGGCCGTAGACTTATGTTGAGAGTCATACTGACTGGAGAGGCAACGCGGTGTCGCGAATGCTCGCGATTGTCGTATTTATCAGGGGAACCGGTTTTGCCTATGGTTGTGTTTGACAATAGAAAACTAGAGGAGGCACTCGGCAGGTTGCTCCATTAAAATTCGTCTCATGCTAGCCTGTGGCATGCTAAGCGACGCCTTCACATTGTCATCCAGATGGATTCGCGAAGTTCATATAATATATAAGCTAAACCGATTTTTACTTTGACCTTGGCGATTATTTACAAATAACCCTTTAACTATTTAACTCAATGAATAATAATTCTAAAATCAACTAATAATTTTAAATTTATTTAAAATTGGATCTTGACTGCTTGAGGGATAGTTTCAAGTGGGGGCAGCTTTTTGCTGCTGGGCTGTCATCTGGTAAAATTTATTTCAAAATTGCTTAATCAGTAATCCTTTTAGTATATTTAAAGTTAGTTAAGTTAGTTTGTAAAGTTGAATTTAAGTATAATTTAAGTATGATTAGTTGAATTGTTTATATATAAGTAAGTTTATAATTGAAATAAATCTGGTCCCAATTGGAATATGTGAAATAACTATTCTTACTTTAAACCCCTTATAATGTAACCATGCTCTTAGAGCGTAAATCTTAAGATAAATGTTATTATTTGATGGCAGCTAAGTGTTTATAAGTTCTCTTTTGTTCAGTTCTGCGTTGAACTGTCTGAAGTGCTTACTCGAGTTCACTTTCAAAGTAAACGCAATTATTGGCACTATACGACGCTTTAAGCTGCTCTTGCAGGACATTTCTCTCTCTCTCTCTCTCTCTCTCTCTCTCTCTCTCTCTCTCTCTCTCTCTCTGTGTGTGTATGTGTGTGTTTGTGTGTGTCCTTTTGCTGTCCGTTATGGCCTGTCCTTGCGGCCCTCAACTGACAGCAACAGGCGCGCACGGCGTGTGCGGCTTAAACACAGCAATCGCACTACCAACAAATATTTTCCCGTTGACGTTTATTTAATTATGTGTGCTGCATTTTATTTTGTGCAGCTTTTCAAAGGGATTTTCATTGGAGGTACGTGTGAAATGTGCTCAATTATAAATGCCATTTAAGAGGTGTTTCAATTTAACAGCTGAGCCTGCCTGCCCAGCTCGGGCTTAAGTTGTTCATTCAGATGTTTTGTCAAGCGTTTTGCAACAATCTTTAAGCTGACCTTCAGCTGTCAGCCAGACGCCCCACTTCTGGGCCAATTCCACTGACAAATCATGTGAATTTGCAGCAAAGCCCAACAAAGGGAATAAAAATCGCAACTCAGCCAAGCACAAGAAGGCGACGGACGCGCCTCGTCTTAGCCATAGCCATAATGAATGCATGAGCTGAAACAAAAAGAATGCATTCTTTATGAAGCAGGCGAGCCGTCGGGGGCCCAGCTCGACTGCACTTATGCGCTAAATAAAAATGCAAATCTAAATGTAACATAAGAGCTGCACTATACGAGTGTATAAATGCGTGCAAAAACCAGGCGGTCACAAAAGAAAACCTCTAGAAATGCATATAAAGTAAAATAAAATTCTCAAGTGGAGAGTGCTCGACTGGAAGCTACCCTGTTGCTCAGTCTTAAGAAAAGTTTGATTACTATAAATAAGATTTGTTGAGATACTCTGTTCCAGATCTTTAATTTGTTTATTGTTGAACAGAAATGTAAATAGTTTCGCTGTCTTTTCCTTAGTCTAAACTGTTGTGATTATACTGCGATCGTTCTTTTTTTTTTAAGGTTCATAGATTCAATCCACCTAAAACTATGGGAAGATAGGCCGATAGGCAGATAGGATTCCCACCCCCATAACTAGGTCAAATCTCATCCGATTTCCACGAGGTTAGGCTATTTGTTCGTGGTTTTCCCTTTTAATTAATCCTCCATTCAAATCTGAAAACATATTTTGTAGTCGAAATTCATGGAAAAATCTTACCCCAAGATTCGTATATAGACATGGGTCAAAATTTCCCACTCCCATAACTCGGTCAAATCTCATCAGATTTTCACGAGGTTTGGCCTTTTGTTCATGGATTTCCCTCTAGATTAACCCTGCATTCAAATCTCAATACATATTTTTGAGTCGAAATTCATGTCAAAATCTTACCCCAAGATTCGTATATAGACATGGGTCAAAATTTCCCACTCCCATAACTCGGTCAAATCTCATCAGATTTTCACGAGGTTTGGCCTTTTGTTCATGGATTTCCCTCTAGATTAACCCTGCATTCAAATCTCAATACATATTTTTGAGTCGAAATTCATGTCAAAATCTTACCCCAAGATTCGTATATAGACGTGGGTCAAAACTTCCCATTCCCATAACTCGGTCAAATCTTATCAGATTTTCACGAGGTTTGGCTTTTTGTTCATGGATTTCCCTCTGGATTAATCCTGCCTGCAAATCTGAATACAAATATTTAGTCGAATTTCATGTCAAAATCTTACCCCAATTCGTATATAACAGAGACATGGGTCAAAATTTCCCATTCACATAACTCGGTCAAAATTCAACCGATTTTCACGAGATTTGGGTCTTTGTTCATGGCTTGGCCTCCTAATTAATTTGCCACCTAAATCTGGCAACAACATTCTTGGTCAAAATTCATGTGTTAATGGACCCTCAAATACCATATTCTCATCAGATTTCCACGGGGTTTTGGTCTTTATTCATTGTTTGGTCTCTAGATCAAATTGGCTTCTAAATCTGGCAACATTATGCTTGTATGTATATTTACTTAAAGTATCAATATGTTTTTCTGTCTGTTACATTATGAGAAACTTATAAAAATTTTCCAATTGTCCATTTTCAGTAGACACAGGGTATACAAAAAGGCGGCATCTGTAGCTACGTTTGCATTTGCATCTGCGTATCTGTATCTTCAACTGCAACTGCAACTGCTGCTGCTGCTGTTGTTGTTGTTCTTGTTGTTGTTATTCATGTCAGACAGGCGCGCAGCTGATTTGATGCTGTAGTCTTTTGTTGTTGACTTAGTTGCTGCCAAGGTGACAGCAAACAGACAAACAATTGCTTCCAACTATTCTTCAAGTCAGAGCCAGAGCGAGAGCTATGGCTCGCCCCTTCCTGCCAGCGCCCAAGACTTGAGCTGAGCTGAGCTGCGTTGCTAATTACGCCAGCGCAGGCTCCAGCATCTTGTGGATGCATGTAAACAGGCGGCTAATTGTTTGTACAGCTGGGAGGAGGTGAAGAGCGAAGCTGAGACTGTTGGAGGTGTTAAGCCCGCTGCGAAGACAGCTCTTTTAAATGCAAATGCCAGAAAAAGGGTCCAACATCTTAGCCTTAGCCAATTCAAGGTGTGTGCTGTGACTGACTGTCTCCCTGTCCCTCTCTCCCTGTTTCTCTCTCTCTCTCTCTCTGTCTCTCCATAGCATTCTGTTTGTCGCTCTGTGCTGCATAAATTATTTTTGTTTGTGTCTGCCAGTTACCCCCTGAAGCAGTCACTTTAAACAAATTGTGAATTGTGAATGGGGAGTAGTGCGCATTTCCTGTATGCTCTGAGTTATGTGTGTGTGTCTGTGTGTTGACAAAACGACGTGGCAGCATCAAGACAGTGCCACATTATGTAAATTTCAAAGCGAAATCACAATAAGAAATCCGCATCATGTAAGAAGAACTGATTACCCATTTCGACTGCCAAGACATGCTCAAAAGGCAAATGCTCAAGAGCAGGGCTATAGCTTTTTACGACTATATATGAATACACACACACTCACATACACACACACACGCACACACAACGACAAATGCTTAGGTGATTCCAACTCAAGTCAAGTCGTCCAATTGTTGTTCAAATTGGATGGCGTTAGCTTCGTCAATAACAATATGAAAAAAAAAAACATATAAAACGAGTATAAAAATATAAAAATTTGTTGTGCGTGTGCGTTTGCGTTTCGTGGTAAGTATTTTGTCAATTGCATGCGCCAGCTAGTCAGCCAGTCATCCAGTCAGGCAGGCAAATTGAAGTTGCCTTCCTTCCGGTTGCCTTCGCTGATACGCCCAATCATTGAGCAAATCATAATCAGCCTGTGTGCTTCGAAGCCAAAGGACATTTCGTTTGAAAGCACATTAAATCTGAAAGCTTATCGGGCTGTATTTATTGATCATTTATGCCGAAGGCGTAGAGGTTCTTATATAAAACTTGCTTCACACCCAACTAGCTATATTTAATATGCATTTATTTTAACACTATTCGAGTCTAGGATATAAATAAGGGCCAGCTTAAACGGAGAGCTTTGAAAGCTTTGCAATATAGCTCGATTTAGCCGGAAAGCTCATCAAGAAAGCCCCTGCACTCGAACAAACTTCTGAAAGCGCATTAAAGCTTAAACACAAAAAATATGCAATTCAGCTTATTTCAAGCTTTACACTTCGTTTAAACTAATTGTTTCTAGTTTAAGCAGTTTATCAGCTTTAATTTTAGCTTTATGTAATTAAAATTAGCATCCATTTTACTTAAGCTTTACAATAGAGCTTTAATATTAATAAATAAGTAAATTGTTTAAAGCAATATGCAATCAGCTTCTCTTTAAGATTAAAGCTGCATACTTAAGTTTATTTCTCTCATGTTGCCGCTTAATTAACCAAAACCAAATCGACTTAGCTTGTGTTTAGGTCGCAGTTTCAGGCACTGTCGTTGGGGCATTGGACATCTGTCTAATTTTAAATTCACAACTTTCGACATTTTTGGCAATTTCAAACAGTATCTATTTTTGGGCACTGCGCGACAGAGCAAATAATTAGCTGCCAAACAATCTTTTTTTTT